CATGCTATCGTGCAGCTTAGAACCTCTGTTTTCGCTCACTACGTCGGGTAAGGCAGAATCTGTCGTTCGTTTGAAGTGATAATTTATGGGAGTCTCCTCGACTTTTCGTGTAAAGGGACACTCCAGGTGTGGTGGATTTCTCATTGTAAATTAAAAGGGCTTAGTAGACGAAGTGTCATAAAAGGCAGTGTTGGTGTGCTCAGTAAGGCGGATAGGTTGTCATATGATAAGAATTTAATCAGCAACCGACCAAATTATGAGGTTGTTTCGGACTCTTTCCCTTTAACAGGAAGTCCGTTCCAAATATGAGAGAATTTGACGGTGAAGAAATTAACACGCATGTAGGATTTAGGCGAAGTCCTTGTGATGCTATTGGCGTAGTTGCTCAGGTGACGCCGTTTGTAGTGTTCGGACCGAAACTTACCTCTGGCCGTTAAAGTGAATTTTTGTAGCACATTGAAGACGAGTGTCAGGTTAGTTTTGAGTTGTCTCATTCAAATGGTTCTAGACTTGGGGTTCTGCATCCGGAATTGTAGTCCTGTATCCAATCGTCTGCTAGCGACCTGGCTGTGAAGTAACTGTGCACGGCCTCTGTTTTAGTTTGTCTTTAATGAGTATACCACTCAATATGAATGGACAGTATTCTGGTGTTGAGGTAAGCAAATTTTATACGCAGTAACTTGATGTCTTTGGGGTGAAAGTTATGGACTATTCAATCCATCGAAATTCTAGATTCGCAGGTCTACGATGCCACCCGTTAAGGAAATACGGAGTCACGCGGGTGTCTTAGCCAAAGGTCACAGGCACAGTTAAATACGGGCGAATGCGGTCAGAAGTCCGCCGCCGGAGCACCAAAACACATTCGGCTACAATCAGCTGTACTGAGCTGGGGTTTCCAAGCAGAAGACCATGAGGACCTTATACTAGTGATTGAAGGTTGGATGAATTAGCATATGTGAATGTATAAGACGTCGTAGAAAGTATTGAGGTTCAACTTCATTTGCCCTAGCCACATAGGCTGTAATCGATAGGCGTGGTGTCCATCCCTACATGATATGCCACGTTGAACAAGCCGGATAAAGTAACATCGTCTTTTCAATTTTCTGGTTGTTGGCGGAACGTAGGCAGCTAAGTATAAAAGCGAAGTATTCTAGCAGTGGTCGGACACTCATCTTCTGCGGAATCAGGTTAGTCTCATCAAAACAAAAGCTACGGTGAATGAGCCTGAGAGGTGACGCTTCTGAGCACTATGCCATCGCGTGTTCCGTTAGGAAGAGATGTCTGAGGTACTTCATCCAATGCTTCGAATGCTACTTGGTTGCCGGAGTAGAAAGTTGTCAAATTGAAGATTGGTCTGCATAATCCGTTCATCCAAGAACGTAAAGCCCAAATTCTGTGTATTCATAGAAGGCAACCAAATTTCACATTAGCTCTGTGACTTGTGGAGGTCACGACTAACGCTACAGCATTGATAAGAGTTGGCAGCGTACACCACTCTTAGGTCATCTGCAAAGGAAAGGTTTTCATTTGACTCGGAGCCAGTACACACGTAATTCATAACGATATAAAAGAAGGAGGCCTTTGGACAGAGCCTTGGATCACTCCGTTGGTAATACTTTGAGAACAAGAAAGGTGCGAGCTTGTTTTGAAGACCTGAATGCGGTTCTCCGGAAATGAGGTAATACACTCGTGCAAATTACCAACTATCCCAAATGAATTTAGTTTAAGAAGAAGGTATGGGTGATGTACCTCACAAAAGGCCTTGGTGAAACCGAAGTGAAGGCAAACAAGCACTTCCGTTTCATCTCCACCGTCGGCCGCGTGGTTAGAGAATTCTGAGTGGCAAGCGATGCAAGGTTTAGGATTTGTCCTGGTGCGAACTTGACAGACGCAAAGACCAATCACTAATTATTCGAACTTGTTATATATTCACGAATACGAGACCAAGGAAGAAGACGATAGCGTAGTCGCATGGAATAGTAAATTTGGATGATTATGCCAAATACCGATGCGTTCCAACTAACTGGCTAGAGAGTCGAATACGAGCAATGCAACGTAACACGACAGCGTGCCAAATGGCGAGGATGCTTGACCGGGTGCCTTCAGCTTAGCGAGTCCAGTTAAACTATCAAGGTCAGCATCAATGTCGAAAGTCGTCAAACCCTAGGCTATTGATTTTGGGGAAGTGTATGACGCTACAGATCACTCCCCCCCTAGTGGGTTCGTGAGGACCCTAAGACGATACCAGCCGGAAGTAAAAACCCAGTGGTTTCTCCACTGGTAAAACTCTTCCGATGGGCTCACTGCGTGAGGTGGCCCCTGGTTGCCTGAACCTTATTCTAGGGTGTCGTGGCAATTAAATGAATGAAATACGATAAATGAAATTGTACGTCGGTCGCGGTCATCTGTTCTTTCGACGTTCCATCCAGTGCTCGTTGCACCTGGAAATAAATAAAAGTCTTTAATACCACGAAAACGTTGCATAAAAATGGGAATTATTTATATATAAACATATCGAAAAATAAAAATTTACGCTTATCTTCGCCGGTTTTTTTAGTTTTTATTACAAGGTAATAAAAATCGATATGAAAAGGCAAAGTGTACGAGGGTTTGTGCATTGTCGGTAAATAAGAAAAATAGTGCCTCGAAAAAAGAAAAAAAATGGTTGGCACGCACACAGCTAAGTTGAATAAGACTTCAGATACTCTGTGAACCTGACGGTTCGACCTGATCGTGTTTTTTGTTGCGCGGATGGTTGTTGCAGCTGTGCATTACCAGGCACATCGTCGAGAATTTCGATAATTGAGTCATCCGTCGGTCGGATGTAGCGATTTGAAACATCACTTATAAGGGGGTTACCCTCGAAATAAGCTGGTTGTGGTTAGCAGAAAAATCCAGGACGTGCGTTACGCCCGACTAGGGACTCATATGCCAATAGAGGTCGATCATGTGGTCGAATTCATTTTTCGCCGTTTGGAGCTTATCGGGGCTAACGGCGCGCTTTGGATGCCACAGGTGGACCTGTGGTTGTGACGTGATGCATAACATTGCTGGTTATGCACGGAAGTGTGCTTCGGTTGCTGTAACTCTGGATATTTCTCCAGAACTGCCTGGTAGGACGCGTCGTCTGATTGTTTAGTCCTAACGATGGCTAAACTCGGACCTACATAGGTGGTGCCGCCAATAGATAACTTTGTGCTGTTATCTATCAGTCGTCGACGGCGAGCATCTACGAGTAGATCGTAATGGTTTAGCAAATCTATGCCAATGATGGGCATAGAGACGTCTGCCAGGAGGAAAATCCAGTGGATAGGTTTGCGTAAACCTAAGTTGAGGTAGGCATACCGTCTCCCGAATGTCGCGATTGCCTTGCCGTTGGCTGCTTGAAGATTGAAGGATGGGTCAGATGACGCTCCTTTGTCGTTGCTGGAAGAACGCTAACTTCTGCGCCGGTGTCGACGAGGTAGCGGACTTTCGTTTTAATATCCGTGACGTAGAGCAAACGGCTTTTTCCGCCGGCTACGGTTGCCGTGAGCACGTGCCGGCGTGACCGTTTCCCGAGTTTGGGTCCTTCTTAAAACGGCATGGTTTACGACATTTTCTGGCTTCATCCCCGTAAGTGTTATGAAACCAGCACCATTCAGGGTTTTCCACCCTGTTGGGTTTCGTTTTAGGGCTACCACGCGACTTGCTGCGATGCGCCAAGGTGCGTTTCCGTGAAGTGCTACGTGATCTAGGACTTCGAGATCGTAGCAACCGTTCACAGAGTTGCACAACTTGGTCACCTCTGAATCCTGGCGCTCTGTTTGTGCAGATAGAATATACGTTGGAGACGGTCTGCTGGATATCTCCAGTATTTTATCTGCTGAGGCTGCCAGGTCGTCGAGTGGGACTGACTGGAGTGTCACCAACACGGTTTGCACCGGTTGTGGTAGTTTCGAGAGAAATAGTTCTCGGAAGAAACCATCGTCAAATGTTCGTGCACCGATTACTTCTCGCATGCGTGCGAGGACTTCAGTAGCTGAGTGGCTGCCTAGCTCGATGTTACGAAGCAATTCGTCTAGACGTTGGCGATCTGTGAGATCGCTTTTCTTCAAGAGTGCGGCCTTTAGAAGTGCATAAGGGTCACTTACTTCAGGATTAAACATGTTTGCTGTAACATACCTGTTTAATTCTCGCGGTAGTGAACGTATGACAGCAAGAAATCGAGATGAGGATCTGAGACACCCTGTTCTCGAAAATCGGCCTCGGCATACAGAAACCATGTTTCTGCATTGTCTGGCCAATATGGCACGAGTTGGATCGTGTTCGTAGTCGGCTTAATACGAATAAGCTTGGGAGTGTGGTCGGACATGAGAAAGTGTAGTAAATGGATATATAAATGTTATCGAAATGAAAACAATAAACAAATATAAAATGGAACAGGCTCACCAATTCAATACTTGTTATTGGTCGGGATATGTGATCACGTCGGGATATTTGATCACGTCGGGCTCACCAATTTAGGATTTGTCCTGGTGCGAACTTGACAGACGCAAAGACCAATCACTAATTATTCGAACTTGTTATATACCCACGAATACGAGACCAAGGAAGAACACGATAGCGTAGTCGGATGGAATAGTATATTTGGATGGTTATGCCAAAATACCGATGCGTTCCAACTAACTGGCTAGAGAGTCGAATACGAGCAATGCAACGTAACACGACAGCGTGCCAAATGGCGAGGATGCTTGACCGGGTGCCTTCAGCTTAGCGAGTCCAGTTAAACTATCAAGGTCAGCATCAATGTCGAAAGTCGTCAAACCCTAGGCTATTGATTTTGGGGAAGTGTATGACGCTACAATGATTTTGGACGGAAAACTATGCTGCAAAAAGCCTTTATGTGTGTGTTGGAAAGGTAAAGGAAATTCACGTTTCTCGTCAATTACTCCGCGAGGTGTAAAACAACAGAATTTGTATTGATGTAGCAATACTTCTTCGGGCTGTCTGGACAGCGCGCTTTTCGAAGAGAAGTGAAACCTTGGAGGCACTTGTTCGGAAGATGTCAGCTGATTGGTGTGAATAGAAAGTTGCATAGACAGGTGTTAGTTCACTGTTTAACTTTGGATTTTGGTATAAACTAAAACTTGTGCTTATGTAAAGGCTAAAGTAAATAAAAAGGCTCACAATTAAGATGCATAAATGTCGCAGTTTAAACTTGGAGGACGTGTTTCTACAGATCCTGTGATACTCATGGTAATAGTCAGAGAAGTGTGGTGTGCATATCGGATGAGCATTGCAGACTGGGTTCTTAAAACATCTGGATGTCTATAAAAATAGGTTTTGTGGATACCGATTTGGTCAGGTAACTTCCGTAGAGTGATATAACGTAAGTGATATACCTGCTTTCTTTCCATTACACGCACTTGTAATCAGACATAGTGTGTCTGGAAGTTTTTGGGAGGTGCCACGTACGTGGTTTAAGGCATACATTAGTGTTCTTACGGCTCTCGTACTTACGACGATGTTTGAATCCGAAGGGAAACAAAAGTAATAAAGAATAAAATAAGGTGCAAGGGGAATACGAACTCACCTTATCTACTGCCTCATCCCACTGTGCACTGCCATTTTATCTCCGTGGTTCTTATATGACAACATTCAACAGAGCACCATGGTCGTTACCCTACACATGACTATCTAAGGTGTATGTCGTGTACAAAAGGCTCGACTGGCTTTCGCCGACTTACGGCACTCGTGATGCCACTGCTATATCTGATTACCTACTGCGGTTGGAATGTACTGCGCTACACTCCTCTCTGTCCTATTATATGGCTGTGAAACGTGACCATTAAAGTGAAAGGATATGAGAAAGCCTCAGGTTTTCGATCACTGTTGCATTTGTAGCATAACTAGTGTATCATCGATAACGTAAAAGTCAGAATTAGCGTTTTAAGGAGAAACAAAATCATTTGGTGGCGTTGTTAATCTCCATCGACTCAGGTGGTTGTGACATGTGTTGGGCGTACCTAGTCACACGTCGTCAGCTGAAGTAGGTCCCTGTTCGGAAATGGTTAATGGTGACCAGACTAAAGCATGTTGTCAGTTCATGGAGTCCTTGACTGTTAGTCTAGGGCACGTAGGGCAATATGGATTCCTCGCTTGAGGTTCGTGTGACGACAGAAACCAGTGGTTGGAGACTTTAGGTGATATGATTCAGAATCGATCTCAATCGCGCAGATGTATCCGCACATTACCTCAATCATCACACCGAGTTGTAGCGTCTTGTTCCTCCTCGTTCTCTTTTAATGCCTCTCTACCATCTAGGTTGCTTTCTTTTTTGTCTATTCATCTTTCATGTGTGTACATCCCCGCTTGATGCGGCAATATGAGACGTGAGAACGGACCGTTAAGGAGTAGTGAGAGTTTCATGTTAGTTTTGCATATCTGTCCTCTTTTCCCGATCCACCTTTGGACCCTCTCTTTCAAGACCACTCACATGATAATCCTTTAAGTATTCGGTTTTCTTCGCACATTCTCAAATGTCTCCCTTACATTAGCTATTCATTATATATACTACTGGTTGATTTTATCGGCAACTGCTTGACAATTTATTAAGTGTTGTGCGAATAAAGTGTCTGTTCCTAAATATGCTTTCTCACATCGTGAATACTTTTTTGTGTAATTTAGATGTTCCATCATGGTAGGTACCAACCATCCGCACCTATTGGGATGCTAAACGATTTACAGTTGTTGCGTTTCCATAAATTAATTATGGAAACAAAATGAGTTTTGTAAAGGACGGCATACCGTGAAAAAGGGACGTTTCGTTTTCGCATCAACGGTAAAATGGGGCCAGTAGTTAGGTACTACACTTATTGTTTGGAGAGGAATGAGACTTAGGACTAGTTATTCCACCGTTGTTTGTTGTGTTTTGTCTATTATTAACAACAAATGGCATTTGCGAATGAATACGACCTCAGTGGTCCTTTATAATTGCACGACTACGTAGTTCATTTATCTTCCTACCAGTTCAAATGGAAAATTGAAAATCTTGCAATTATTTACGAATAAGAGCACAAAACATGTGATTTTGAGTTCTAACAGTGAAACATAATAGTTGTTTTTAGACGCATTTAATAATTGTGCGGTTTTCTATGTGTCATACTCGCCATTCATAGCGATCTTGCGGTTGATTTTATAGTTGTTTTGGTGTTTTTCCGTTCATTCTCATCAGGATTTAGACGTCAAACGATAATTATTTTGTCTTTCGAATGACCTTCATCGTTTGGTGTAGGCCGCATTTGACTGATGGCTTGTAAAGTGCCATAGCACTTTCTTTTCCTTTGAGATCTATAGTCTTATCATACTAGATGCCAGTGGATGTTTGGATAACATTTGCATAGAATGAAGCAAAAGCATTCAGCGGGGATAGATATAGAATTACTTAGAGATAGGCTTGGACCTTTGATGATATAATTACGTTTGATTTCGATGTAACTTTCGGGTTATCAAGGATTTCTCTACAGAGGGTAAGCACAACAAAGCAGTCGGGAGAGAGACAAAATGAGAGATTCAAAAATGGTTATATGTGCACACCTAGATACGCTAAGAAATCTCTACATTATCATTATATACGTCGCATGCAGCTTTTTGTGCATTATTTGCCTGGTGGACATCTACTAATTTGCTTTTCATGTTTTCATGTAGTAGTCTCAGGCATACCGTAGACCTTTATCGCGTCAAATGAAAGAAAATCTATGCCTTGAACATGGGACGTGATGTGGTGTGATATCTGTGACAACATTTTGAATGAAAAGTTCACGCATATGCAAAAAATATGTCATGTATATGTTAAGGGAGACATGGAGGGTTTTAGGAAATACTGGTGGAAACTTCAGTGCTGTCGAAACGCTGCCATGGGATAAGTATTCAGGTAGTAAGTGACTGGACTGAAGAACTCAGCTAAAGGCCTTTACTTCTATAGGAAGTCAGTTCAGAGTCTGAAAAAGCTTGGTGGTGACGAAATTTGTCTGAAGGGAAGAATTGAGAGGCTTAATTGTGACGCTGTTAGCTTGGTTGCACAAACCAGAGCGAATGTTCTTTGCGGACTGGAACTCACCACCAACTTTTGAGGATATTTTACGAAGTCTCTCAAGGTTGGTTAATTTTCAGTCGTCCCATCAAAAGTGGTTCTAGATTTAGGGTCGTGCATCTGGAATTAGAGTCGTGTTCTTACTTTTATCCCATTGGGCGAGACATGAAATACCTCTGCTGCAAGTCATCAAGTTTTAGTTCATAGTTAACGAGAACACCACGCAGAGTTAACGACTAGTGTTTCGAAATTGTTCGTACAAAGGCTTTGTGAAGTGATTATTTGTCACCTTTGTAGCATAATTTGTGAATCATGCATCATAGGATTATTGACTTGTGAATCTATAATGCAACCCATTCAAAAAATATGAGACACCTGAACGCCTCAGCTTTGGTCATAGATATCTTGGGGATGAAGCAACTTCTTGGACTAAAGATTGACTGCATATCTGAGGAGGGGGGGGGACGAAAGATTTCTAGCTACACTTGCCTATATTGAATCTAAGTTTAACCTTGCTCCTTTCGAGTGCTTGAAACTGATGCATATATCATAGCGGATAAAAATTAGTTTGTTATGTGTAAAGTGGCTAACAACGTCATTGACGTAGATATTGGGGGGGGAAGGTTTGATACACTGCCTTAAAATACACCAGAGGTAATAGGCATAGGTTTTGAAAAGTGAGAACTCAGGTCTGGTACTCGAATAGGATTATGTAGAAAAGATTTAATCCATTCTGATAGTGGGGAGTTAATTTTAAGGGAGTGCCGCTTATAAACAGTAGACGGTCAACAATCGAAAGCTTTGGAAATGTAGAACGAACTACAATGACTATTCGGTGTCAGCCAGGCATATTGGTTACAAAGTGATGGAAACTAAGATGACAGGTTGCTTTTGTGTGGAATTTATGTATCTGTCACTTTTTTCTTCGTGTTTGCTCGTCTGTTGGACAGGGTGGTTCGGGATATAAGACGTATTCCACCCTGATCAAACCGAATTAATATCCGCGCACAAAGTCAACCAAATCTACTGAATTATCATCCCCACTAGTTGTTTACAGAATGTTTTCGTGTATTTCATGACAATACTGAAATAGTTAATGCAGCCGAACTCATAAGAATGTATGTATAACTTCGTGTATGAGCTTGCCGCCGCAAGCCTATTAACCCATTTTGTGCAGTCACGTACCAGTAAAAGCAACAGAGAATAACTTTCCAGTGGATAGCCACTTCCGTTAAGTGGGAATACTCTTCGTTCTAAGTCCCTAGTTCAAGATGATCCAGAGGTGATGTTTATAATAGACTGCGAAACTTGAGAGTTGTCCTGCTGTACCTACTCATGAATGTTTTAAAATCATGTTTCACATTTTGTGACCTTTTTTCTGAAAGGTGAGGACCTATAAGAATTAAGATTCGGATTATATGGTTAGAGATTATGACTTGTTTTTCAGAACTGATCTGAGCGATACACGTGTTTAGTCTTAGTGTAAGTTGTAGTGTTTATTTGTCTTCTTTTCTGTTTCTCTTGTCTCTATCTTATGACTGTTGATATCAATTTCACTGTTTTTGTTTTTACTGTTGCTAACTTCCATGTTGAGATCTGACTGCCTGCACTATCAGATACTTGCGTCAGACACTATTGGTTATGCGTGTCTGCACTGCTTGGGAATCTGTGATTTCGTGTGGAATAACGGTCAAGTGCTTTAATTCTAGTAGGCCCTATTTCAATTCTCATCTGTAATAACCACCTGCCCATTCGTGCTTGAAAAAAGTACCTGTCTTGAGATCTAGTGCTTGTTTTTGTATGTTTGCTGTACAAACTCGTAGATGTAAGTGATATACTCGGGTCCAAGTGACTTGGAGTTAGTACAAGCTGGAAACTACCGAAATACTGGAATGAAATTTTGGAAAAGGTGTTATCAATTTCTTGGTGTTGACATTACATGTTGTTTTTGCTTAAAATTAATGGTCAGTTATTCAGAAATAGAGAAAATTGACACGTTTACAGGTATTGGGAGAACACTAGAGCAATCTCTGTATGTTCCTCTTCTAAGTATGTCTGAGGAAATTTAACGTATTGGTTTTCAACTTCATCGAATTAAGCTCTTTCGCCGCATTGTTAATTCTCTTTATGTTTATTTGAGTCGTATGGAGTTTGTAAACGTTTACCATTTCATTAAATTGTTTTAGTGGATAGCTGGTTTAGTTTTTGCATCCCTACAAAGATGTTATCCTATGAAGAACAAGCGATTATGCGAAATCTACCTGCTATTGTAGCGGATTTGGAAAGTATGGATATTATTGATCATCTCACCGCTACGACGCCCCCATCAATTACTCCAGCTGATTATGAGTCTATAATAGTAACTTCTCAACGAGAGGGTAGAAGAGCAGGAGTGAGGTGCTTGATTGCTTGCCTACTGCGTCGTACTGAAAGCTCAAAAATATTTCAATCTCTTCTTAGTATCCTGAAAGAAGATTACAGCCATTTGTCAGATCTTTTGAGTAATACATATGAAAGTTTGAAAAAAGAAAAGAAAAATGATGAACTGGATTTTGGCGCCCATTCTTTAACTCTCCTTCATTTCAGTCCTGTTGTGGAAGTTGATGAATCAACTACAATAAACACACCTTGTCAGTTGGTTTCTAAAGACATCGAGAATTCAAAGATACCTTTGAAAATACTTGGATCTTCTGAGTACGGTAATATACGTATAGTTCTGAGCTCCTTTATAAACTGTTTAATATTTCCTTCCGTAGATTTTTACTCTTATGTTCTAAGACACTGTATCCTGAACTATTTTTCTAGGTTTTACACTGCTGACTTTATCCATATTGTTTAATGTACACCAGTTTTACAATTTCCTTGCACGTAAGGCTAGTACTAATTAGATTTACCGCCGTTTTCTTTGGATTCGTTATTTAGCATTCTAATTGAGTAACTTTAGCATTAGTTGATGAGTAAAGTGACTGAATGTGACTCATTTCCGAAAATAACAGTAGCTAAGTACTTAAAAACGTTCTCATCTTCGATTCTTAATTGTAATGCCTTCGGTAAAAAATTAAGTCTGCTGCAATATAGAGTTGATACTATACTGGGATCACTATATCAAATTGATGGTAACCAACTGAATAATCCTTTGTGATCGAATCACGTTTCCATTTAAGATTAAGCTGTTTAGGTCAGTAAAGCCGCCGTTGTAGCGTGGTAATTGATGCAGTTGTGGAGATATATGTTTGTGCAAACAAACCTTGCAACTCTTTTTGCATTCTATAAGGATGCAGTTTCTGAGATATTCAGTTGCTATTATTCCACTCAACAAGATTGTATTCGCTTTCTGTGATTCCATTGTGTGTAAACCTGTAACAGTTCCTTGCTAGACTGCATGATTCTAATCGAAGATATTATTGAGTCAAGGAAGCCATAGGAAAAGTGCACTTGATGAACAGTGTTTCCTGGTTACGTTAATTAACAGGGGTTTATAAGACAACTTCTACTGCAACTTAAATGTATGACTACTAATTGTGAAAAACTTATCACAACATCACCTGGTGAAATTAAAAGCTGAAAGCTGAAATAAATATGTGCGGAACATTCAAGATTATGAAACTTTTGAAGTAACTAATAACAAGTAAAGTTTTGGTCTGGTTAGTAGCTCAATCAAGATCTTATTGGTTCCTTTCCATTTTATGCTCCATGTTAATAATTTTTGTCAAATAGCTAGAATCTCAGAACATTAAGCTAGTCACCTTAACCTAACTCATTTATTCTTCGTAAAAAGCTGTCTTTTATTTCAAGTGGAAATAACGAGTTGTTGAGCATAAAGATAGTTTTAAGAAGTTTTAGGCTGTACCATTCATCCGCTTATAAAACGTGCCCACAAACACTAACTAGCCTGACTGGCAAAGGGGAAACGGAAATGTATCTTCAGTTCACTAACAGAACACCTCATGAACTCAGGCCACTTAGCTTCTTTTGAGAGGTCATTCAAAATCTTGTACAGGGTTCAATCAAACTACTCGAAGGTATTCAGATCAACGGATTTGTCTATAGCCGAAACACTAGCCATCCAGAAGTTCAAAACAGCCTAATGAGCCCGAAAAAGGTACGTCCAACCTTACCATGGCTATCATAAAGCCTTGACTGTCATAGATTCACCTACACCAACTAGTTGATAGTCAAGCTGTTTCTCAGTAGTAAGAGTTTTAGCTTGTCTTATCTGGTTTATTCATGTGATGGTACTAGGGATGTAATATTCATTGTTTGTAATAGGTTTTGCGAACTTCTGAATATTATGATATCTTGTTGAGACTATTTTCCGACTTTTAGCTTCAACAGCTTACACACATCACTACATTAAATACTCATCCGCATTGTTTTTAGTACCCATAGCGTTCGAAAAGGTTTTTAAGATTGTCTGTCGTCGGTTTTATCATAATGATTAGTCTTAAATCTTCAATGACTATGAGATAGGGAAGATCTATTTAAGCGAAGCATTCTTGATTGATTTCAATACTAACCACCACCGACTCATCAGCCATGGAGGTGTTCATGCACTAGGTAATAAACCAGACGTATTATTGTGTGAGGATTAGTAATACTACCTGGTCTCCCAAACCTTGATAAGTGAGGCGGGGTTCAAAAGCATTACTTGTTGGTTGAAAGTTGAGTGCCTAGATCAATGAAGTGTAGTTTTACGCCAACTAGGTAGACGTTTGAGAAACCGATATACTGAAAAAAAAATACTGATCAGTTCAATCCAGAAAAATAAATAACTAGAAAATGTGAGTAGCCGTGAGTGTTTTACAATAGCTTTGAATTCAGTAGCGTGCTAATCGGTACTCCTACACCGTGGAGCTTGATATTGATCATATAATAGCGTTATTATTTGTAAAATATATTTGGTATAGTATCTGAGTTTATATCATTTACCAGTTCCATAAGTATATCTATATAATTGTTTACTTACTAATTTGTTTTTTGACATTCTATTTTATCTGTTAGATATCATATTCAGTATTATTTCAACAATATCATCACATCCTATTGCTGTTATAAATTGGCGAGATCTATTGAATGAGTTGTTAGGTTGTGCTACTGTCAGCGTCACTACTTGTGGTAGTAGTAGTAGTAGTAATAGTGGTATTTCTAGAATTAATAACTCAGAATCGAAAAACAACAATTCAAGTACTACTGATTTTGAAAATTTTCAATGGTGTGCATCGAATTGTCGTCGGGGTTTATTTCACTTCTTCTCCATCAATATGATTCGAAATTTAGAAAGTCGTGGCTCTCCATTTAAACGGTCACAATTAGTTATTTCTAACACAGTAAAATTTAATCTTGTAAGTTTTATTTATGTTATGTTGGTACTTATTTTGTTGACGAATCTGTTGATTAGCGTTTCAGACAGTTTACTTTGAATATCGCTCCATATTCTTAAGATTGAACAAGATATTCGTGTGTAAATCACTGCAAATATAACTGATAAACCATATACTAGTTTGCGTACTCAAATATGCGAGTTTTGCGATAGATAAAGATGCCATCTGGCTGCGTAAACCCTGAAAAAATGTGGCGGATTTTGAATACATTAGCCTCTAACTGAACACTGAATACCTAGTCGAATGTAAGGCAGATTCACGTATTATTCTAATGTATGTACTAGCAGATGGAAATTCGATAAAGCTGTAGTTACTGAAAAAATCTTTTTATATAGATGCAAGTAAGAGAATAGTAACAAATGAAACAAGCGTTCACATTTATCTGGAATTAAATAGATATGCTTTATTACATCTACTGTTCTCAAGTCTAACTTTTGACTGCATTCACTTATCTTCATCCTTCACCTCACTACCTTTTTACTTGATGTGCTGATATGAGGTGTGGCAACTCGGACCATTACGCAGTAATGCCTGGTCCTATGTTGATAATGATGATGATGATGAAGTCTAACTTTTTTGACTGATCTCTTCGATAAACCCTGCTATTTAGAGCAACCAGGGTGCTATGAATTGAAGTGGTTGTTAAACTTTTGTCATTTTCTAGCAACCAGTTACTTTCTTGGCTTGATCATGCAATATTATATGTACAAGACAATAAACAACTTGAGGTCGACTATCAGTGTAAATAATGTCACTCTACTTGCTTCCAAGAAGCTGACTGATAAGTGACAAAATCAGAGGAGAACTTCGCACACAGGTGAATCAGCTCAAATTGTCACACTCCACAGTAGTTGACAAAGAACAGGTGGATAGAAAAGAAGTGATATCGAAGGAGACAACGTTGTGTGAAAGAATAAACAATTTGAAGATAACGGTTAGTGTAAGTGTCCAGGCCTTAGAAGATGTCAAGGAGTGAATACATCTGCGCTCTTGTGATAAATTTTAGGAATGTTATCAATAGTCCTCAATGACCGATTCCTTTCTTCTCGGAGACCCCAATTCACGCAGCCTACATCTTCCCATATGGCTCAGACCAATAGTCAGGTACTTGATCGACTGATACCAAGTCTTGGTCTAGTTACCCTGAACCCTATTTGAACCTAATCCAGCTTCCTCTAGTATGGCACGTCGAGGTAGGCGGTGGTTTAGCATGCACAATACATGTCCAAGCCATCTCAGTCGATTAAGGTTCACAACCTCTTCAATTGGCTTGTCTCTTTTATCTGGTTTCTTTCGCCTGATGTCAATATTGCTCACAAGGTGATTCCACCGAACGTGAGCAATGTTGCTAAGACACCTATGATCATTCATTATTTTATCAGTTGTATCCTCTATTCTATAACTTCATCACACTAGTCTATAGTTCAACTTCATTTAGTGTTTGACTGTTGATAATGTTTCACAAGCTGTTTAAAAGTGTGGTTTTTTAGACTTAGAGGGAATAAAGTTCTTACTACTAAGCTATTCATCTTGCATAAAAAGAAAGAATAGATGTAGATATATTTATTGTAAAATAATATTTCTGTTCTTTGCTTTATTATTTCAAGCAATTCATTAAAAAGTTGATTGTAGAACAATTAATTCCAGCCTTACAACATCTTAATCTATGGAATCTAACCAATCGTATCCAAGAAGAGATTGAATACAATGATGAAAATAGATATGATTCTTTAAGAGATATTAGTTTCAATAAATGTAGTCTTTTATATGCAAATGATCTTCCCTACAGATTACTAGATTCCAATTATCATACTACTAACAATGGAACCAATTTATCTTCTGATCATTCTCAATCTTTATCATCATTCAGTTTTTAAAATCTTTCTCACAATTTAATTATGCCAAATGTAAGTTTAATTGTTAGCTTAACTGTCATTATTTTATTGACGTTAATTATTATAATATATCACAAATGTGGTATTTTAGAGTGAGACATAGTAAATAAGCGGGAATTCTACTTCCTTGTAAATCAGAGCTAAAGAGGATTCTCTCTTAGTTGATATCAAAATTTATCCTTACAGATATCAGGATTGGTGGACGCTGTCACCATTTAAGCATCCAAAATGTTAGCAGCTAGTACTAACTAATAGTAATAATAATAACAATAATAATAATATACTTTTGTAAATACAAACATATGATGATTTACAGGTGTGATTGTTTACGTATAATTCTCCTGATGTTGAAGCTAGTACACACTTGTATTTATCGCTGTTCCAAATATACACTCTACACCGTTATATAACCACTGTATTATTCGTTGTTAATGGACGCAACTCAGCGACCATGTAATTGGGGGATGTACTAGGTTATTAGTTAGACTTATCAAGTGTTGGGATACTTTTTGACTGTCTACATTGTGGTAATCAAATGGGGTTCGAATTTGCAAACTACTAGTTGAAAGTCATCTGCTCAGCGCTATGAACCAAGGCATGACATCAATAGTTGCATTGTAGTTACTATGGTTTCTAGTCTTCTGTAATTAAGTATATAGGGCAATATGAACTTAGAATAAGTCAGGTAAATAAGGATTTACTGAGTTGAACAATAGTGTTTGCCTATAGGTTAGACATATAATAATAAACGAGGCAATATCATTCTCTACTATTCATGCCCTGTGATATACAGTCACTTCCGTATACTCAGTTACTTTCTTAGTTGGGGTTTTAACCTTGATGCATCTTCCTTCATGTGTATGTGTAATACATTTTTTAATTCCTCACTTACTGATGTGTGATAAAAGTCCTAGTAATCGTCAGTATCCGATCCGTATATGCTTATGTATTAAATAACTTCTAGTCTTGTCTCTTTTGCGCCATATTTTTCTACGTAAGTTTCGTGAGCTCCACTTTCGGCTTGGGCAACTAAGTAATGTTATGAACCAGTCAGAGGCTTCATGGACTAGTGCTACGTTTTAGTCTGACTGCCGCTGACCTTTTTGCAGTTTAACCCTAATCCAGCTAACATCACTCGTCATGAGAGAAAGTGACTAGGTATATGTAAAGCATCTCTGCTCTATTTTAACCGATACAAGTTTATAACGTCATCAGTTGACATGCGTCTTTTACTTAAAATTCAACTCTCTACACTAAACACATGTTGCTACCATGACACACAAAGGATGCTGCAAGAGGAATGGTAGTTGAATACGTAAAACCTTGTTATATTCTTTCTCCTTAATAGCCATGTCTTACAGCCATATAGTATGACAGATCGACCTCTTGGACAGTACACTGGAGTCTCAGTAGGCGATTAGATATCTAGTCGGTGGCAAAAATCGCGTTGGTTGAGAACGCCATACACCAATATATACACTTAATCTTCATTGAATGTAATGCGTATGAACCCATACAAGGTCACAAATTGTAACTCTGTTATTATGTATGCACGGAATTAAAAGCTTAGATACTTTCACTTGGACAAGTCAGTTTATTATCTATCTATCTAACTGTACATAGTTAAGGGAACTTCAACTTTGTTGTTATTGTTTAATACATACAAGGATAATCAACAAAAATCTAACGTACATCGATTAGTTAGTGGTTAGCAAGCAATATCCGCCTGTCCAGTCCTAAAGTAGACCGAATTCTGCTGATCATTTTACAATATTGTCACTGAAGTAGGTGCATCGCCGTCGTCAGGGATCATGACTGATGTTAACTAGTTGAAGACAATCGATAGGGAGCGTTGAACCTGATTTTCGTGTTTTTGACGCTCGTCAGCGAGGTATGTTTGCAACTTTAAAGACATTAACTCTATCAGAGATTCGAGCTCATACCACTATTGCAGGTTTGGAAGGAAGGAGTGAAAGGTACCTGCAAAATGGAAGAAGAGCGACCTAAGTCTTTGCAAGAACTGGCGCGGAATCATGCTCCTGTCCACCCCAAGCAAAATATTGAGCCGCATCATCCTGGAGAGACTAAAAAGTGCTCTGCATTCAAAATTACGACCGAAACAAGCCGGCTGGCTGGACTCAGGAAGAACAAATCATGTACGGATCAAATTGCAACGCTACGCATCATCATAGAACAAAGAATAGAATGGCAGTCAATTCTTCACCTCAACTTCATCGACTTTGAAAAGGCTTTCGATAGCGTCGACTGAGAAGTAATTTGACAGGCAGCTGCTTCAACACTATGGTTTAGCGCCACCAACCTTTATCAACCTCATTCAACAGAGGCTATATGCTATATGGTGCTACATATCAACGGTTCACAATGGAAAGCTCAGTGACGCCTTTAAAGTGAAGACAGGAGTAAGACAAGGCTGCCTACCATCACCGATGATCTTCCTGATTGTTGTCGACTGGATCATGCAGCAAACCATGAGGAGTGAGAAAAGAGGCATACGCTGGACCGGTGAAAGTAGCCTAGAAGATTTGGATTTCGCTGTTGATGATTTATATCTAATGTCGCACAAACTCGAAGATCCATGGGCGAAAACTAACAAGTTGAGAGAAGAGGCGAGGCAGCGAAAACGGGGCTTCAAGTAAGTGTACAGAAGACGGAGGTGATGAAGATACCCAACCAAAAACAACAACAAGAGGCACCAACCACCATGAACGGGACAAACCTAAAGGAATTATTTCTCTTTCACCTACCTAGGAGGCAGCATCGTTTCAACTACAGTCGGTGGCACAGATGAGGACGCGAAAGCTAGGATCGGGAAAGCAAGACAGGCTTTCACTAATCTGAAACCAGTGTGGAGATCTACTGCACTCAGCATGTGGAACAAGATCCGGATTTTGAACACCAGTGTCAAGTAACTCAGTGCCGCTGTATGGTTCAGAAACTTGGCGCGTCACGAAAAGCATTTCCAACAAACTACAGACATTCATCAACAGCTGCCTGCGCTTGTTACTGCAGCTCAGATGGCCAGAAAGAGTAAGCAAGGAGGAACTTTGGGAACGATCCAACCAAGAAGCTATCGCTCAAAAAATGTGCAGAAGAAAGGGGAGATGGATTGAGCATACACTGAGAGGGCCGATTGAAGACATCGCGCTCCAGGCCAGTCCCTCGAATGGAATCCAAAGGGGAAACGACGAGTTGGGCGTCCGAGGCGAGGGTGACATGGAGGAGATCATGTGAGGAAGAAATGAAAGCTTCTGGGGAGTTGTGAAGCCAGGTTAAGACTGTAGAGAACAGTGTGGAATGGAGGCGTGCTACTGAAGCCCTATATTCCACTAGGAACCCAAAGGAAAAATAATAATAATCATTAGGTGGTAAAAATTTACCTTCTTATCTTCATAATAAAGGTTGATGTTCACTTTCATCTTCTAACAGAGAATGTTAAAGTTAATAATGACCTGTAAGTATTTAGTTTAAACCTTTCTGCAACCCAGATTTTTCATCAATGAAACCATAATCATATTTATCTGATGAACATTTTCTCTTAATCATTTCTATTCATTTGTGTTATACTTCTCTTACTTTTTGTTTTATAGCTCTACTATTTTCATGCGTTGAACCATTGTTTCATCATTCCCTTATCCTTTTGGATTGGCCATTTCTACTTCATCAACTCAATGTTTGTCCAGTTTGTATTTCTTATTTGCTTATGTACCGTTCTCCTGCTTCACAGGATTTGCCTATTGAATCTTTCGACTGTTATTCATCTTCTCATAATATGTCAGTGGTTAATCAAAATGAGAAAATTAGAAATTCAGCTCTGAAAATTTATTTCTATACAGTACTACATAATACATTGTATCAAAGAATGATTTCAGATAAGAAAAACAATAATAATCAAATGGGAAATCAGAGTGGAGATGTTTTTAGTGAAAGTATTCAAAAAGTATGTTTCTTTTTGGTATATTTTAATCTCTTAATCTTAGTAACGTAACTATTCTTGTTTTGGGAATAAATTAGTCTTTTTTTCTGGTTAACAAGCAGACTTAATGAGTATTTCACTTTGTAATGTTAGCTGAAGTTTGTTTAGGTTAGGATCAAATTAAGGCTAGCCATATAAAGAGATGACACCAACTCATCAACTCTGACTATTGATCTGAGCCATGTAGATAGGTGTCAGGTTCTGGTCCATTGTCTGTGAAAAAACCGTAGTAGGTGGTTAGAAACTTCAAGGGACACATGGCTTAAACACAGTCAATGTGTTCATCATCGAAAAATCGTGAAATTCTTAACACTTATGTTCTATTCTCATGTCTTTCCTGTTCATTTTAATATTGTCTCCATTTTTGCTTTGTCGTGTACTGTTTGAATCGACACACTGCTGTACGAGTTTCTACTTTGGTTGTCAATTGTAGTTCGAATATGAGTGACCAAGTTCCTAATGCCTCACAGTTACTTCATGGTCTGCATATTCTCCTTGATTATCTGTTCCTTTTTCAACAAATATTCGTTTTAGCAACTGTTTGCTGGCTTTCTCAACAGTAAGCTATTTCACAGATCATGCAAAATGTCTCCATTATTATACCTTGCATTCAGCAATGAGGTTACCCTATCATTTAGTATACACTAACATACAGATGGATCTTTCAGGTTGATTCTATGCGTAAAAATTCCTGTCTCATAAAGGTTCATTTTGACCTGCTAAGTATCTTAATTCACCTGACAAAATGCGAAGTCTTCTGAACGCGTTGAGCAGAAATCTTTGTATGTTTAGCACCTTTCAAATGTAAGATGATACTCGATGACTGGTCTGCTGCCAGTACTCCCAGTTTAATGATAGAGAGTGAATTAATGGAATGTATCGACCTCTCCACTTACCTGTAGAGTTGCGCTAGCTCGAATAGTTTTGCTTCTGATTAAATCTCAGCTCGGGTACAGAAGACCCGTTTGGCATTTGCGAACTCATGTCACCTGTGGCGTCTTTGAGATATCCGGCTATCTATCAAAAGGACAAATATACTGCGTTGGAGTCTATTCTTTCCTGTTGTACGGCTATGAGACATGGTTTTTAAAAGGTAGACGACATGGAGCGGTTAGCGTTTTTACCATAGATGTTTTCATAGCATTGGTCGCGTTTGGTGGAATCAACGTATGAGCAATGTTGAAGTCAAGCGAAAGGTATTGGGCAAGACTGACGAGATTGTGAACCTTAGTCAACTGAGATGGCTTGGACATCTACTGTACGTGCCGAGCCACCGCTTACCTCGATGTGCCATGCTAGAGGAAGAGAGTTTAGGGTGGCTAAACCAAGACCTGACACCAATTGATGAAGTCTTTGACTGTTACTCTGAGTTGTGTGGGAAGATGTAGACTGCGTGGTTGGGGTTACCGAGACGAAAGGAATCAGTGATTGAGGTTTATTGATGACATTGCTAAAAATTGGTCACAGTGGCGCAGATGTTTCCGCTTCTTGACACCATGTAAGGCTTGAATGCCTGCACTAACCGTTATCTTCAAATTGTTTATTCTTTCACACAACTTTGTCTCCTTCGATATCACTCCTTTTCTGTCCATCTGTTCTTTGTATACTTGTGTGAATTGTGACAACTTGAGCCGAGGTCCTACGTTGATTCTGTCAGTCACCTACTATTACAGCTTCCAGAGCATCACATGCTAAGCACAACTAGTACCAGGGATCATCAAATTTGTGTCAAACAGAAGGTATGTACTGATAACCTTGTCTGGCAATGAGTTGCATCCAGTTTCTGACGCTCTGAAGGCATGTAATAGTGATGTAGCAATGTCGTGGCTTTCATAGCAAAGACTGAAATGCTAATATTGACTATGCACAAGGCAAATGTCTTCTTTCTGTCACCTGTTAATACTTGCATTTGTGTTATACCTTGACACTGTCAGAATAGTGATCGCCCACATTACGATAATTACTATGTTTCTAGTGTTTTTGCACAGTTTCACAGATCCACTTGCTCCGTTGCACACTTGAATGTTATTAACATCACGTTCTTCAGTCGTGAATTGATCCACGGCTGCCAGAATTATCTCAGCCTTCGAATCTTAGGTTGTTTTTAGCTTTGGAAGTCCAGTTTGAGATCGATATGACGCCGTGATACCTTCAGAAATTTCAGTTTGCTTTCGACTAGAACTCTGACACTAATTCGTAATCAGTAAGTATAATGGAATGTCATTTCTAAACATGATTGTTACCTAACATTTCTGCAAGTCGAACCACCATTGAAAGTCAGGTAGTGGTCGAACAGTTTTTTCATCCATCAACATTGCTCAGTCGTATTGTCTACTTATTTTGATTTGCGACGGTTGAGGTTAGTCACTGTTTTTACTAGATTACTCTCGAATTCTTGATTATTGTGTTTAATTAAAGAAACCATGCAGAGTTTACATCTTATGTTTCCGAATTTTCACTTTTTTTCCCTTTCTTATCAATTTTCATATGCTCAGTCATGTGTAGCATCCGTAATTCATACACAGTTATTACCAGCTCTGCGCTCTCTTAATCTGAAAGCATTACATGATGAAGTTGAACAATTGGCCTTTCAAATGCTTCATTGAAATCTGATTTATCTTCTTCGAATGATGCCTATATCTGATGACACTTGGATAATGGTACGAAAAAAATGAGGAAAACAGAATTATAGTAGCTTTCTGTATTAACTATGTACATAATTAACTTTAATAGTTGCATCGTAACTTCAGCATGGAGGGGATGTTTCACCTGTCTTCTTTTCTGAAAATCATACATGAAAATCCTCCTAGACAGTTTAGAAATTGCTATGAAATGCGTATTTTTGTTTTTAGAATTTATTTACTGTATTATTATTACTATTAATATTATTATCGACACTTTTCGGTGATCATCCTCAAAACCATTTTATTTTATGGCTAACTGATATAACATGAATTTGCAAATTAAAAGATTAAATTACTTTCAAAGTCTACTTTTATCCAAATATGAGTAGTTTGTATGAAATAAGTAAATATGCATTTTGAAATCTTATTTTCATCAACTGAGCTGTAACATATTTATAGTGTATGTATCATTAAAATGGATAGTATTTGGTTATTTGTAAGATTTTGTTATCACTGATATTTTAATCCTATTGGATAGAAGCTATTTTAAAATATATCTTAGATAGTACAAGTTAACATGTACAGCTTATAGTTTTGTACAATAATGATACTGTAGGTACTTGAATTTCATAATATTTTAACTGGTCTACTGGTCAGATATCTGTCTGTTCAGATGGCTTTTATCAGTTTACCTTCATATGTATACATTAGTCGTGAATAAATATATGTTTAACAGTATCAAAATGAAGCTATTTCTGAATTGATTGTCTGATATCACGCTTCTTAATAGTTGAAAAGAAAATGGGAAAAACAGAATGCAAGTTTATTCTCTAGGCAGTGAGTCACATCTATTACATAACGGCTTACATATCTATACTGGAGTAAGTGGAGGGGGGGTTTCGAACTCATGCCTGATAGTAACAATAATAATAATAATACCAATAATAGTGGCTTTATTCCAAACAAGATTTGTGCTGCAGTATGAAATTCTCAGCATTTAACAGCCTAACAAATTCCTTCCCTGTACACTATTTTTTAAGCGAAGTAATCATTACATCTTAATAATGTTACTAATAACAGTAATAAAAGCCGCAGTGTGAAACAAGCATCTAGTTCGGACTGGTGAGTGAATAGACTAATGAATATACCCAAATCTGTAATTTGATATAGTTATCGAAGGAATGGTAATACACTGGATTTCTGTGCATTTATAAGCCCATCTTTTGGTTAGGACAACCTACAGATAGATACTGACAGTACATTGGATACTAAAGTTAGTACTGATGATGTAGTCTAGAAAGACAGTAAAGGCTTCACACTCAAACCACCCAGCTTAGAGTATACAACACAATCAACAACGCGCTATACAAATCACTTTCATTCCTCTTTTCTTTTTCAGTCACTGATATCATTACTAATAATATCAGTAAAAGTAAATAATACTATTATTAAATAAAAACATTAAAAAAACACAACTAGATTACAATCGAAATCATAAGTATACTTATGTACACAAAGGATAAGTTAAAAGGCATTAAGGTTACCTCAAGAAAGGTAACATTAATTCATTATTTATTACACTAGCCACTAATGAAGAAATATGATTTCCCTAACAGAACAGCGGTGTTGAATGAAATTCATTCCTGTTTCACATGAGACTGAGAAACTAGTCAGGTAGGGGTGGTTATTTACGATATACAGTTGAAGAAAGACAGTAAGTAGGTTTTGTTATTAAGAAAAGCTGAATTTCAATAAAATTGAAAGTTAATACCAGAGAGAAAAAAAACTGGTAGAAAAGATAAACAGGTTTATAAGAATGAATTATTATCAATGAGAAATACAAATTATAGGAATCTAAATAAGAGTTTATAGATTAAGAAATTCATGACATTCAGAGCATATACGAACAGGTTTATTACTTGCTAATCCTTCAATAGGTTGCCAATGATTACAACATTTTGAACAGAATATATGACCACATCGACGACAATGATGACGTCTTCGAATCAAAGTAAAACTACGATTACATGTAGCACAATGATGACCAATTATATACGAATCTTGTACATCATCACTACTAACTGAATCACCATCTATTTGATGTCTATGCTCATCATTATCATTATCATCATCACTTTCTATTTTTACTATTTGATGTATATTATTTTGATATAATGGAAAATCTGGTTGCCATGCTGGTAAATAGTTGAATAAAGAATCATTTGGATTTTCAATACCTTCAATAGGATATCCTAAGTTCAAGATTTGAAGTCTTTGCGAAAATGTACCTTATTTGAAAAAAATAAATTAATTAGAATATGAAAACTAAAGAAATACTATGTATTGAAAAGTTCAATTTACATATAAATCAAACAGTTTTATGAAAATATATGAGTAATTTACTTGAGTACCAGCTGGAAATGTCTACATCTTGAAAATATAGCGATTGCATGAAATCAGATATACGGACCTCAGAACTAGAACTGAAGTCAGTGGCGCAGATGTATACACACATTATCCTCATCTTAACAACGCTATACCGAATCTCACCATTTTGTCACTCCTCTTTCCTTTCTTCTCGTACTTTATATTTCTTTTGACTGCATTCACTTATCTTCATCCTTCGCCTCACTACCTTTTTACTTGATGTGCTGATATGAGGTTTGGCAACTCGGACCGTTAGGCAGTAATGCCTGGTCCTACGTTGATAATGATGATGACCAGTAGGGCATGTGAACACACTAATCTTTTTACAGTACATTAACTAAAGCATAAATTATGGTGTAGTTCACCAAGTAAAACGACACTCACCTACATAGTTGACCACTTCACTATGTTTACTGGATTACTCTTACAACAAAACAATTAGCCGTTTTTATCCTATAATATTAAAGTTATCTCCTGATCATTTAGGAGTTCCTTGATGTGACCAAACGTAAATTTGAGGATACCAAGTAGCTTATATAAAGGTGCTGCTATCTCATTGAAAATTTTGAGGAATCGACTGTAGAATGCTGCTCTATCCAAGAACTATCGCAGTTTCCTCTTGTAATTCAGCACTGGGATAGTTTTAACCATCAGAATTTTCTCAGGCAATGGTTTTATTTCACCGTCTCCAACTTTGTGTTCTAGTAATGTAACACTCTTCTTGGCTAAGATTTTGTCTTATTGATGCGAAGTCCAAACTCGTCAATGCATCTTGAAACAGCTTCCGTGTGTTCTAGATGTTCTGTTTCGTCTGACTGTACACTACCAGGTCGTTACCATACACCTCTATGTTCTCTAAATTCTTCAGCAACATCACCAACCGTCTAAATGTAAGTAGTGCACCTGAGAGACCAAATGGCATTCGCTTGAACTGGTATTGCTTCTTGTCCACAAATGCTTTTTTCTCTTTATTGCTTTCTTTTATTGGTAGCTGCCATTAGTCTAATCGCAGGTCCAGAACTGTAAATACTTTTGCATTCTGCAAACGATCCGGTGTTTCAGCCGCCATCGACATGACACACGGCTTCAATTGCGTTATGCTATTTAACTCTCGGAAATCAACACAGAATCTGTATTTCCCATTGAACTTTCTTACTAAAAGCACTGGCAAACTGTATGGGCTATCAGCCTCTTCAAAAATACCTTCTTTTAACATTTCCTGAACCTGACGCCCAACTTCTTCCAAGTGATATGGTATCCGCCGTGTTATAAATATTGTCATTGCTTGACTTATCACTGGGATTTAATGCTGAACCTTGTCACAGTATCCGTAAAAGTCTGAATCTCCCGTGAACAATCTGTCGTATTTCTTAACCAACTTCATGAGATTTGGCGCCTCTGAGTGTGGTACTTTTGATACCTTGATCTCTGCTACCTCGCTGTTTTCCTGCGTGGTTAACGACCCATACCTTGTTGCCACTATTCCTGTTCTCGTGTTAATAACTGCGCCCACTTCTCTCAAAAAATCAGCACCTAGGATTGTCAGTTGTAGATGCGTGGTGACAATGAATGAAAATCTAATTTTCCGACTTCCGATCTCGACGATGCAATCTGATAAGCCTCCGATCTCTAATGCATGTCTTCCAACAGTGTGGACCGTCAGCGCACAGGGTCTTATGTTCTGAGACTGAGTCTTATCTATTAACGAGAATACCACCCTCGTACCTATTAGACACACGACCTCCCGATCATTTATTCGCATTCCAGCATACACTGTATGTCTGTCGATGGCTCCTACAACATCTAGTCTAGTCGGAAAAACAGAACTCATATTATATCGTTCAAAACGTTTTCTTTTTCGCCTTTCGAAGTGCAACCACCTCCGCCTGAAGGTTGTCGATTTGTTTTTTCCAGTTATTTACCTTTGGTGACGTCACTGCAGCTACTGCTGCACCCATTAGCTGTTTGGTGACCTTGGCCATCTCACTAATATCCATGCGTTCACTGGTCGTAGCTGCTGGGCGATGGCATTCGGGACACTTTCGGTGAACTGTGCAGCCAGAAACTGCTCCTAGGAATCCTCACCCAACGTGGAAAGTGCTCATCGAAGTAGTTTAGGTAACTTCACAGCCAATATCAGTAGATCTTCGTCTATTCCAAGTTTCGTGCTCCGGAACTGTTGCATCGCCAGCGCCCTGTCCGCTAGGCTGTCAAACTCCGCCTCGAGGGGTTCAACCGTTCTCTGTCAAGTCTCCTTCCCATCCCCAGGTTCCACGCCGCCATAGGCCACTTCCGCTCTACCCCTCAACAACATGGTGGGACCTCAACATTCATTTCTGATAATTGTTTCACATTTTTCGATAGGACAAAATAACAACACAGTCTGGAAAACGTTTGCATCAAACTAGTTTCTTAGTAGTACTTAATTTGGATTTTTTGCTCGACAGACGTTTTCAAAGTTTTCGTCCCCGAACAAAACGCAATGAGCCACCTTGTGCATATCCATGCATTAAGCAATAAGCCACATGTATGGTATGAGGGCCTGTGATACTTACTGCCTAGCTAACCAAATCTCTGAAGGTGAAACGGGTTTCGAACCCATTGCCCACAGCTCCGCTTTCGTCCTCTGGATTCCGTGAACTAATTATGTTCAGAAGAGATATGAATTAAATGATGACATGAAATGAAGACAACTAAGTTTGAATGGAATGCCACCCACCCAAAGTATTGATGCTTTTCTAGTTATCTTAATGTAGCCAGTTCTATGAAATTTCTTATGATCTGTGCTGTTTTGTCATTTAGATATATCATTATTTTTCCCTTGGGTTTCTGGTGGAACATAGGGCTTCAGTAGCACGTCTTCATTCTACTCTGTTCTCTGCAGTCTTTTGGACCTGGCACCAGGCGAGGTTCATATAGATATATATTAGTTATTGAATTGTAAAACATGTTTTTGATTTTTCAGACAAAATGAAGCAATTGACTGTTTCAGTCAAATATTTAAACTTGTGAGTTGTATATCGAAAGGTAACTGAGAATCGTCTTGTATTTTACTCAGTGAATGACTAGGCTGAGCATGTGTAGGAATAAATTTTTATCATGACGTCTTGTACAGTAGTCATCAAGAATTGTACACTTTCCACTAAGATAGCTTATTTGCAAGATGTGCTTCATTCCCTCTTCTGCTTCTATCTTGATTTGCTCTTAATACGCTAGTGTTGTCTCTTGCGTTTCTCCGTGCAGAATATTTAACTATCGCTGATAATTGCCTATGATTTCTTCCGCCTTCTCAACATATACTATTTATATCCATTTTTATCAGTAGGACCCATTACACTTACTGTCAATGTGGTATGCTCGAATTTTTTAGTCAGGTGACAACTGGAGAAGTAGTTTCATCTTTCAGTTATACCATAATATTATCACTGGTTTATTCGCAATAGGTTTGGCTTCTAATCTTAGTACGCAAAAGTGTAGGTGACTGATGAATATGGATATGAGATTATCTGTCTAAGGTTACATTTTATGACATGATAACTGACAGGAAGTTGTTAGTACAGAGATCAACATTTTAAGCAAACAGCCACTTAGGTAGAAGTTCTGGAATATCAAGTTTTGATCTATGCTGCTTTACAAACAGGATTACCTTATTGGGCAGTGGGTCAATGAAAACGCTATTCAGTTTTTTTTTTGTCTTAGTGTCCTTTTATCTATGCGGTGCTCTTTTACCCAATAAAAGTTGTTCTGGCTGTCACAGGCCAGTGTCTTTGCCTTCTGATATACTCAATGAAGGATAAGGAATTAGGCGGTGATGAGAATTGAGACAGTCGTTGTTCCTATAAAGTTCGAGTGTACTTAGTATTAGTATTCAATTAAGTAAATATTCGAATCCATTAGGTTACATCAGTAGCGCTGAAAGAAACGAATGTTTTAGTCAATAAAGCTTAGATGGATAAGTACAACAGGAAGTCTAAACATTACAAACCTGTGGAAGTTGAGATTGGGTGTGCTTGGTTGATATAAACACATGGCAACACACACTTTAAAGGTTATATGAACTCATTGATTCAATAACCCAGTGAATTTTAGTTCTTTTGTACTCTTTTTAATTCGACTCATGATTATCTGAGATGCAATTTAACTGATCAACGGTTTTGAGTAATCAAAAATGAAACCATCACAGTCCCAACAAAGAGTATATAATCACAATTCATTGAGATTAGTATTTATCTGAGTTAAAAATTTTGATTGAGACTTTCATAACTTGATGTTTAGGAAGGTTTATTATGATTATTATTTGTCCCTTGGGTTCCTAATGGAACATAGGGCTTCAGTAGCACGCATACATTCCACTCTGTTCTCTGCAAACTTTTGAACCTGGCTCCACGATAGCCCAGAAGCTCTCATTTCTTCCTCACAAGATCTCCACGTCACCCTCGGACGCCCAACTCATCGCTTCCCAGCTGGCTGCCACTCGAGGGCCTGGCACGTGATGTCCCCAGTCCGCCTTCTCAATGTATGCAAAACCCATCTCCACTTTCTTCTGCATATTTGTTGAGCGATAGGTTCTTGGTTGGTTCGTTGCCAGAGTCCCCTGTTGCTTATTATTTCTGGCCATCTGATCTTCAGTATCGACTGAGTGTGTGCAGTTGTTAATGAATGTCTGTAGTTTGTTGGAAATGCTTTTCGTGACGCGCCAAGTCTCTCAACCATACAGGAGCACTGACGTCACGTTGGTGTTGAAAATCCCATTTTGTTCTACATGCTGAGTGCAGGAGATCTCCACACTGGTTTCAGGTTAATGAAAGCCTGTCTTGCTTTTCCGATCCTGACTGGCTTTGACGTCCTCATCTGTGCGTGTGCCGCCTGTAGTTGAAACGGTGCTTCCTAGATAGGTGAAAAAGGCTACTTCCTTTGAGTTTCTCCCGTTAATGGTGATTGGAGTTTGTTGTTGTTGTTGGTTGGGTATTTTCATCACCTGTCTTCTCTACATTCACTTGAAGTCCCGTCTTCGCTGCCTTTTCTGCCAACTTGTTGGATTTTACCTGTAGATCTTGGAGTTTGTGTGACATTAGACACAAGTCATCATTGGCGAAATCCAAATCTTCTAGGATCTTTTCCCCGGTCCAGCGTATCCCCCTCCTCTCGCTCCTCACTGTTTGTTGCATGATTAAACCCACTACAGTCAGGAATATCATGGGTGCTTCACTTCAAAAGCATCACTGAGCTTCCCATTGTGAATTACTTGGCATGTGGCATGTTCATGTTTAAGAAGAAGTAACTTTCAATACTTCAGAATAAACTAGACCTGTTTAGAGAAAAACTATTCATATAAACTGGTACTGTATTCAGTAAAACTGGCTTGAACATTGTCCCCAACCACACTTTCTTTGAGCTTCAATCATTACTGGCAACTGAACTTATCTGAGACAGTTTAATTATTTTAAAGAGAAGGAAAACACCATTACCGCGATGAAGAGTGTGTACAGCATTCGGATATCATTATGAACAGAAAAGATCACTGTCGAATCCTTATTATTACTTTGACGAAGATACCTAGTTAGTCATAATACCTGATGGTGGTTTCATGACTTCATGTGACCAGTTCTGTAAACGATGACAAGATAATGCATGATTGTACACCAGGTCCCATGGTATTTATATGCTACATGCATACACCCGACTCTCTATATGTTAGCATTATCAAGTTTGTTCTCCTAAGTCATTACACAGAAACGAACGAAACACATTCAACCACTGTGTGCACATCCATGCAGTAGGCAATGAATTACACCTATATTCTGAGGACTGCCCAAACCATTGTAGGAGGAGCGGGGTTCGAACCCGCGACCCAGACAGCTGATTCCACAGAGATAAACACATCACAGCATTTAAAAAGAAAAGAACTCACTAGGCTGATTGAAATTTACAGGTGAATTTAGTTTTAAATTCATATGACCATGAGGTTCACATATTCTTTCGACATCATCATTTAAACAAGCTGCAATATCTACTCCAATTTCATCAACATTATCCTCAATGCTAGCGGTAATACTACCTTTGTGAAATATTGCTTTTTCTTTAATAATAATATTCTTTGGTATGGTTACAGCATGCTTATGAAGGAATTCAGATGATTTCATTGAACTGTTACCAGTTGAATCCATTGAATAAGAAAGTTTATTATTACATTTTTGAAAATATAAACTAGACTCTTTGAATAACTTGTTTAAATTCGATTGATGTGATGATATCTTATCAAATTGCATTACTTTAGTCCAATTGAATAGATTGGCTAAATCTCGAATTTTTTTTTCACTTGCTATCATGTTAATTGAATTGATTTCTATTTCTTCTTCTAGTTCAGTTTCTTCAGATAGTTGACTATTTGAAGTGATTTTATCCTCTTCTATACTCTCTTCATCATCTTCATCGTTAGAGCATTTTTTAGTGATATCTTCTGAATTATTACCAGTAGTGCTAACAGAAGATTTTATATCGATTTCACCGCTAGTATCATGCATTTCTACAACTTTCTATCATATAAAAAAAGAATAAAGAGATATTCAGTTCACTAATAAGTAATAAGACAGAAATAATAAAAGAGACCGAGAGCTAGAGGACTGACATGAATATAACTGTGAACCCATCGCCGTATACCATGGTGTTTTTTGCATAATTTTGACCCTAACTTACAAAAGATTAGTAATGGACTGTAGTCTTATTGTTTGATACTTCTAATTTCCTGTTGATATATAAGGTCGAATTGCCTGACCTATGTCGAGAGATGGGCTCCTATGCGAATGCGTCGATACTGCAGGATATTTATGATGTTGTATTCATCTTGGTGACTCGCAGTGTGATTCAGGACGCGCGTTTCGTCCTATTTAAGAAGGGACTTGTCAACTAGATGTACCTGCAACCCAGTGAGTCATTTCGTTTCCACTAAGACTCGAATATAAAGCTGTTGAAAAGGTGATGTTTAACAGCAGTACTTTAAGCAAAGATAGTAGAGAGAAACAAGTACCTGTATATGTAGGAAATGAGAAGACAGAGACGAAGTAAGAAATGTTTATTAACACGTGGTACAGTAGTCATCAAATATGGTACACCTTCCACTAAAGACTGTCATTTGCAGAATGTGCTTCATTCCCTCTTCTGCTTCTGTGTCGACTTGCTCTTAATACGCCGGCATTGTCTCTTGCGTTTCTCTTGGCAGAATCTTTACCCGTTTCTGGTAATTCCCTATGATTTCTGCCGCCCTCTCAAAATATACTACTTATATCCATTCTTATCAGCAACGTCCACTACAGTATGTATCATTATAATCGATAAAAAGAGATAATTGTAGGATTCACCTGAATAGAAGGCACGTGATAGTTGTATACATTCAAAAGACTATCTGGTTCTATGTTTAATAATAACAAGTACACAAATTTGTACAGCTACATTCGAGGGGTTTCAGTAGCAAGCAGCGTGTGAAGTACAGTTAACAAACGATGAAAATAACAAGTTCAATATGATTGAATGCCAACTCATAGCTTCGATCAATGAGACAGCAGCAAATGTCCAGACAGTCAAGTAAGAAATTGCGCACATAAACATAAACTACTCATAAGTAATATAATCAGTAACATAAGAAATGTTATAGCACTTGATTTGATGCATTACTAATACCATTGCAATTGCAATCCAGTCAGTAGAACAAAAGCATCCTCATAGAGGCCTATTACTCATGATGGAACTACATGGAAGAATTTCCTTATGCTTATTCTTCGCTCTTATCCTAGTACTAGGTTGTTTAATAGTCTGCTTAACATATGTTATGCTTTATTATTATTATTATTCCCTTGGGTTCCTAGTGAAACATAGGGCTTCAGTAGCACGCCTCCAGTGGCCTCTGTTCTCTGAGATCTTTTGAACCTGGTCCCACGACAGCCCACAACCTCTCATTTCCTCCTCGCACGACCTCCTCCATGTCACCCTTGGACGTCCAACTCGTCGCTTCCCATGGGGATTCCACTCGAGGGCCTGGCACGTGATGTCCTCAGTCGGCCTTCTCAGTGCATGGCCAATCCATCTCCACTTCTTCCTGCATATTTGTTGCGTGATAGGTTCTTGGTTGGTTCGTTCCCAGAGTTCCTTGTTGCTTATTCTTTCTGGCCATCTGATCTTCAGTAGCGAGCGTAAGCAGTTGTTGATGAATGTCTGTAGTTTATTGGAAATGCCTTTCGTGACGCGCCAAGTCTCTGAACCATACAGGAGCACTGACTTGACGTTGGTGTTGAAAATCCGTATCTTGTTCCGCATGCTGAGTGCAGGAGATCTCCACACTGGTTTCAGGCTAATGAAGGCCTGTCTTGCTTTTCCGATTCTGACTTTGACGTCCTCGTCCGTCCCGCCTGTATATGTTATGCTTGATACACTCTATATATAGATTCACTTTGTAGTTGAAACAAGGAATTCATTCTTATGAATTTTATTCTATGAATAAACTCATTAATTCAATAGACAGGCACATCATTTATTGGTTCTAACACTGGAGAACAAGGTTATTCAGTTTGTGAGACCATTTGCATGTGGACCAGATTTACTTCGCCTACGTAATACCGGCAATGGTATAGTTCGAAGCATGGTGACAAATATTCGGTGATAGTATCAGAGAGTGAAAAACTATATACAACCAAAGACAGCCAGTTTGTGACTGAGATTAGTTTAAAAGAAGCCATATTAAGCATCTGAGGATTCTATCCACGAAGAAACAGATAGTTCAACATAAGATCTGGGATTACTGCGAAACGGTTTAAGTTCCCACACCTCATATCAACACATCAAGAGAGAATGTACTGAAATGAAAGTAGTATGAAGTCATCAAAAGAGGGTGAGGAAGAAAGAGGGAATATTGAAATTGAATTTGGTGATTGAGATGAAGACAATGTGTGAATACACTATCACCAGTGAGATCGATTCTCAACAATATTACCTATCCTCCAACCATCGGTTTCCGTAGTCATGTCGACACCCAGACAGGAAGTCTGCATTTCTTTGCATGGCTCGGACCAAGAGTCAAAGACTTTACGAATTGATGCCATGTCTTAGTCTTGCCACGTTTAACATTCTTCCAGCTTGAACCTACTTCAGCTAACGCTATGCGACAAGGCTAGCGGTGAGTAGGCATGCGTAATATGTCACAAACACCCGGGTCGATGAAGGTTCACATACTCATCAATGAACATTTATTTTTAGTCCAAAATTCTACACGACTTCTACATTGTTCACGTAGTGAAACGATGATACACAGACGATGCTAAGAAAGCAACAGTCGGCGAACACTTGAAGCTTCGTATCCTCTACCCTCAGTAGCCATGTTTCACAGATATATGGTACAACCGCAGTGAAGTTTACTCGACGCCCAATAAGCAATAGGATATACTGATAGCATCATACATGGCATAAGTTAGCGAAAGCTAATTGACCCCTTCGTATTCGTGTAGACATTTCGTCAGTCACTGACCCACCAGGACTGATCCGACTCTCCAGGTAAGTGAAGCGATCAACGGCCATACATTATTTCACTCCCTACTGTTAAAGAGAGAAGCAGCAAAGGCTAGTCCTAAATCAACAATTTGTATTTGGATGGCGAGAAACACATCTCAAATTACCAGAAGGCGCTGTCTTCACCCAACAGGAATATATCATCTGCATACTCCAGATCTACCAAGGATTTTCCTGTGATAAGGTCAATCCCTGTAAAATCGCACGACGAGAGGGAGATCTTTATAAGAACGTCTCTTATAAAACTGAATAAACGTAGAGAAAGTGAACATCACACAACGTATACAACTCACCATAGGTTGTATGTAACGCGCCCAAAGACATCTGAGTATAGAGCCTCCAACAGAGTGACATACCTACTCGGCACCCGTTTCCGTGAAAGACACCGCCATAGAACCTCTCAATTGACTGAGTCTAATGACACCTTCAGGTAGAGAAATATAACCAGTTTCAGGCGTCAGTAAGAGTACCTGAGTCCCAGAACCCGGTGGAGTGTGAATATCTAGTCCATACACCCCAGGTCAAGACTAAAACAGGCCTGGTTCTCTAACTTTTGCTGTTCCTGAAAACTACTTAGACATCTAATGACTATAGAACCGAAAATCTTGGACACTATGTTCATTGGGCTGATTACCCTATGCTTATCACAGAAAGACTTCTCACCTTTCTTGAAGACTGGGAAAATCAGTGTATCATCTTACTCTGAAAACACTAGTTAACACTTTAGTAAACCTGATCCCTAATCCAAAACCACAGTTCTTAAATCAAACTCAGGACATGGAAAGGGGAAGAATATCTCTTATTCCCATTTTAACTTGAAAATGAAGCCTGAGATAATTCAAAGTGATTCAGTGGAATAAAACTTTGGGCTAAAATATCGATTAACCAAGACAATGAAAAATGAGTGCATCGATTCAATATGTTACACTTTTAAAAAGAAGGTAAAGATTATAAAATTGAGTAATGTATATATCGTGTGACAAACCTGTAGGATAAATCGTAACTCTGTTGGATACTCTCTGGCAAATTTGTCGGCTACACCTGAGATACATTTATACAATCGATGTAATCCAGGAAGATAAGTTTTCCATATATGACTTTTCTGATATGCTCCCAAGTTGCCTGGCACTGAACCACTTGTTACCGATGGTAAAGAGAAGCAAGACTCATGGGTACTAGCGGAAGTAGTAGTTGTTGTTGCAGTGGTGATGTTAGCGGACACTTTAGTTGCATTATGTATCTCAGAGGAACTATTTGCAATTCTTTCTTCAGGGTACGATAGCTTGGATACTAATTTTTGATGATAAATCAAATTTGGCAATCCATTTGGTCCAAGCCATCTTGCCAATCGACACAGTTGATCTGGTCTAAGCGCATACAGTTGCCTACATAGATAGGCTAGTTCAGAACGTGATGAACTGAACATAAACGGCAAACGATGCCTAAAAGAGTTATAAAGATATAAATATGAGTATTGTATCCCTTTTTTCTCCACAAGTGATTTTAATTTGAAATGAACTCAGACGATAGAAGAACCTTTTGAAGTTACGTAATCGATAGATGTGCACGAAAGCAGCATACTGTTCAATCACGACCTTATGTTTCGATGAATAAACTAAGAGCTATTTAGTACATTTCTTTTGTTTAACAAATTTCAAGAAAGCAGGAAAAAACAGATTTGCAGAAATAAAATGAAGTCATTCTACCTCATGGATATTCATCAATAAGATACAACCGAAAAGTGCATATCTTGATCAAGATACATAGTGGATTGTCAGCGGTAGTATTCATCACGGACTGGATGGTTGTTTCGTCCTAGTATGGGACTCCTCAGCAGTACGCACCCACGACCCCACCGGGCAGGGATCGAATCCAGGACCTTCAGGTCTCACGGCAAACGCGTTAACCATTCAGCCACTGGGTCGGTTTTCAGTGGTTCACAGTTTCCAACTTCTGCCAATTCATGATATAGCACGACTATCACCCAAGGTCTTCAATTGGCATCCGCTTCCCTACCGACTGGTTGACCCCACAGGTCACGGCATCTCATTGGAACTCCGTGATACCCATCTGAAAGCATGTCGCTAATGAGTATTATACAATAGTGCATTTTTGAGATGAATGGGGATTGTTAGTTTGGAGATAGTATACGTCATGGACTGACATTAGTTAGGGAACCATTGACAATCTGGGAGCACTGGATAGCTGGTTCGTCCTAATTAGGTCGTGGGTGCGTACTGGTGGGGAGTCCCATACTAGTACGAAACAGCTGTCCAGTGCTCCCAGATTTTCAATGGTTCCCCAACTAATGTCAGTACGTGATGAATACTATCTTTAAATTAAAAATCCCCATTCATCTCAAAAATAAATTATTAGATTGGTTATTCTAGATTTTAAAAAATGTTGTTAGACAAACACCGATTCAAGAGAATGAAGTAGATAAATAACTGCAAAATTACGTAACCCCGTAAGTAATCAAAAAACATCAAAATAAATAGGTGTGATGTAACCGAAAATAATTACAAATAAAAAAAACACAAAGAAATCCAGTGATGGATCGTTTTCTATAGCTAATCAATCGTATTTATAGCAACAAAAAAAACAACAAATGAGTATATTATTGCCTAATAACTCATTATTGTGGCAACTTGATCCGATACATTTGTGTGCGAGGTCCTACGTTAATTTTGTCTGTCCTGTCTGATTATCATGATGAAATGTTTTAGGGTGAAATATTGAATCAATTCTAGAAGTGTGAAGGACAAACTACCACTTTTGGCCATATTCATGTGTGTCTATCAGTCTACCTGCTTTTGTGGAGCTGGTTACACAGTCTTTTTGAACGCATCTTCAATCACTATCCTCCTTGACTGTCCCGAGCAGAAGATAACTCAAGTTGCTTCCCCACAGCCTTCTTTCAAAACGGCTCAAAAGAAGTGCAGATTCGTCACTTATGTAAAGCATAGGTGTTGGTAATCAAACAATTAAAGCCAGAGCTTCCTTGAGTTTCTTTCTGGCTTCAATATTCACCTTACTCTTAATGACTGACTATTATTACTTTTTAGTTTTACTTTACAGTTCGAATCTCAGGCGGGACATTAGTTCCGTTGAGGTTGCAGATACACCTTGCTAACGACTTCCAACAAACACGAAACCTAGGTCAGGTAGGGCTTCCTATCGATCGCCTCCAACCAACTAACCTCTACTAATGTGCACCGCGATGCTGAACCTCCTTGCTTGGTGGCCACATTGCAAATATGATCGATAGGATTCGGTCTACACTCAGGACTAGACAATATGAAATTCGTTGCCCTTCTGTGACCAGTCAATATACAGTTTACTTTTCTACGTCTCAACATATTAGCTCTAATCTCCCATTAAAATCCTCATAATATTTTACTCTAATTATTGATAATTCTAAGTACTATTATTTTTGACTTGTTTCTTTTTTAGCCTATTAGTCAACAGTTTAATCTACTGCATATTTTCCTGATACATATTATGATTACATAATCCCTTTCTAACTCTAAAGTCAACCCACCACTAAATCAAACCTAGAACACTCCTGAACCATGCAAGAATAAAGATATTTGCATAGTAAAATGAGCTCATCTTATTTCATGGCCTTTCATCAGCTGTAAACAGCCTACAATTGAAATGAATTATTAGTAGTAATAATAACATAACATACTTTAAATATTTCAAGTTGTTATTCATCGAAGATGGACATCAGTTGGATGAATAACAACTTGAAATATTTCCAAATCTCCACAACCCCTCAAAATTTAATTGAACTGGTGCTCGTTGGTGACCAGCTTCGAGAAGTATTCCCGAAGTTCCAATGACAAGTCGTGACCGGTGGAGTCAAAGCCTGATGGTGGTGAGGACAAATACTCAACGATACTTTAAATATGTTGAAATAAATGGGAATTTGATATCCAGAATTAACAATAAGGAAGGAAACATAAGATTAATGGTTACAAATCTTAGTCAAAATCACTGATAATTTATATTTGATGAGATAGAAAATTCTGAAGTTGTGGAGTGAGAAAGAACGGACCGTTTAAACGCGCATAGGTTACGTAATTACATGTAAAACTTGAAAATATTCAATAAGTGATTAATCAAGAGATGACACAATTAAAAGAAAAGGGAAAACTATGTACAAACACGTGCAAAAAAAATCCTATACACCTACTATGGTAAAGAAAGTTAAATTACAGTCTCCTTCTGAGTACATAGGTCAGGTTGAAAATGTTTGATAGCAACATCTTCCGCAAACTGTAATAAACAAGGCATTCTTTGTTTGTTGATTATCTTGACTAACTGAAAAAAGATCTATTTGATGTCCTATTTCCATCAGGTGCCAAGGGATTACGCTCTTAAAGACCTTACTATCATTCAGACACAGATTTCTCGAAATATGCTCATAAAAGTTTTGCATGTGTAGTCTTCCCTTTTCTTTGGATCACATCATCTTTTCATTAATTACTTGACAATTTTCAAGTTTTCCATATAATTAAGCAACCTATTAGCTCTTAAGCAGTCTCTTCTTTTACATTGATTTTCGTTTGTTGTCCCCCTCCCCACTCCACAGCCCAATAATTTTCTATCGTATCAGATATAAACAACAATAGATTTTGACTACGATTTGTAACTGTGAGTCCAGTACTTCTTTGACTTACTACCCTTAATGTAAATTCTAGATTTCAAATCTCCATTTATTTCTGCGTGTTTAAAGTACGTCATGTCATTATTAAGGGCGACTTTAAAGACCATCCTAACAACTACCGAAATGACCAATCAGGTTACAGTATTTCGACTGAAAAGACAATTTTTCATAAAACAGAGAAACGTGATTGGTTGTTTCGTCAGTTGCTAGGGTGGCCTTTAAAGTCATTCCATTATTACTATTAATACTTCATTGCCATAGTAGGTGGTTTACAGATGATGAAAGGTTATGAAATAAAATGAGTTAATTTTATTCTGCAAATGTCTTTGTTTTTGCATTGTTCAAATTGGTCAAGAGAACTAAATCTATAACATTTCGTCTTGATGACCTAACGTTGACCTATTCGCCAATAACTAGTCTGATCTGTTTATTTGTTATTACCATAAATACGATTGTACAGAGCCTAAAAATGATTAGTCGGAAAGAAAATTTTCTTCATTGAATAACTTTCTGTTTTTGAATGTTTTAATGGAATATTTTTCTAAACTACAAACTACATGGATAAAAAAAGACTAATCACAGTCTCCTTTTGTATAGAAAGGTCAGGTTTAAAATATTTAATCCCAAGGACTTTGACAAAGCATAGTAAACTTGACAGTTTTGCTTATTTATTACACTGAAGACTTCAAATATATCTATTTGATGTCCAGTTTCCATCAGGTATCTGTCTATCATGTATGTATAAACTTCACTACCTTTCAAACACTAAATTTCTCTAGCCACGCTCATAAAATTGAGTAGAGGTTCTTCTGTCAATCTTTCCCAAATACCTGCTCTCAAAGGTACATCTAAATTGGTAAACATAGTTGGAAGAATATTTCTTTACATTGATTAGTTAATGGACGACAACCAAATTCATGTTGTCTAGTCCTGAGTATTGACCGAATTCTGTGGATCACTTTGAAATGTGGCCACTAAGCTAGGAGGCTCGGCATCGCGATGCATGTTGATAGATGTTATTCGGTTGGAGGTAATTGGCAGAAACCCCTAGTTTTAGGTTTCGTGCTGGTTGGCAGTTGTTAGCACAGTGTATCTGCAACCTCGAGGGAACTGGAGTCTCCTCTGAGATTCGAACTTATGTCACTCAGTGTTGTAGTCATAGACGTTACAACTGAGCTATTCAGGTTACGATTAATTTCTTGTAGGATTGCGTTACATATATTTATCCACTTAAGATTGACTACGGAAACTAGCAGTCTTGTAGATTGATGTCAGCCTAGCAGAAGGGAAGCTTTTTTTCAGTACACCTTTTATTCGTTTATCTGTTCTTTCTCGTATATATCATCTCCCTTAAATGTTAGAAATTGAAAAGGAGTTGGGTTTTGCAATTGAAATAGCCAGATTGCTTGTTGGTAATTCTCTTCTTTTGAATCGCTGTCCATCTGAAAACAGTTTCATTGATCTGTAATTATCTAACTCATCATATATGACTTATCTTGACCAAAGTATGCGATTCCCGGTTGCATGTAGTTGATGAATATCCACGGATTAAAGTAACGTCATTTTATTCCAGCAAATCTATTTGTTCCTGTTTGATTAAAAGCTATTTGTTCGGAATTCAAAGGCATGTTCCTGCCTATTGACAATTTGTTACCTTCATGTTATTACTGAGATATTTAAAGTCAGATATATTGGATCAAATGTCTGGAACTCACCTGAAAGGCTAAAGAGTTACAAAGTCCACCTTCTCTAAAACAAATATTATTTGTTGCCTAGGCTACTATAGTTGCTCACTAAAACGATAGTCAACTGATCACCCTCAGTCGGGTATGAACGAACTCCATAAGGCTGCATTTATTCATGTAGAAGATTGAGTGCCATCAACCGCACTATATCATTTATTTTAACCAACTTACACTGATTAATTCAACTTTTACGTTCAGCTGAAAGTTAGCAAATTAAACTGAAAATTATAAAACAATGGTTGTACACTGTTTTCCTAACCACTAGGCAACAATATCATCGACTAGTACGACAATGATATCAAAGAGATGGGTTTTCTCAAAAACATCGATTGCAACTTCAATGTAAGAATTTGACTGACCAATAGAGTTAGTTCGGTTACCCTTGATTCAGTCTCAGTCTGAATTACATATATATTCAATCCAATAACTTTCAAAAAAGTTAACATGCTTCTTTAAAATCAGACAGCAAAGAGCATAAGTATCTGAAAGTCTACTTTCAAAAGTGTTCAAGGATCACAGCCATGAGTTATTGATTAGAATAGCAGTTACTACAGAGTTTCTAGTGGATTAAAATCACAGATATTTACATCTGACTGGTCTAGATTGTTAATCATTTCAGTTAATAAAAAAGCATGGAAATATTTGTGTAAAAAGCGTAAGAAAAAACAATGATACCAAACTGAAACCCTGAATCGATAAACCTAAGGAAGAGTAAGTAATGATGAGGTGTTTGCTCTTCGATAGGTTCTAAAACACGGACATATCTCTGAAGGTTTGTAAAGATTTACAAATTGATTTCAGGTTGGAACTCATCATAGACTAGCATCAGTAGGAGGAACATTGAAAACCTAAGAGCACTAGACAGCTGTTTCGTCCTAGCATGGGACTTTTCAGCAGTATGCACCCACAACCCCACCAGGGATCGAACCTATGACCTTCAGGTTCCGCTGCCAGCACATCACTATTGAACCACTGGGTCAGAATCTAGTGGTTCATATTCCCTACTTCTGTCAATTCATGACATAGCGCGACCTCCATCTAATGTCATCTTTGAGTAGCTGTCCTTTTGTTCGACTTGGTTGGCTCCACTGGTCACAACTTCTTACTGGAACTTCAGGAATCACCTCTCAAAGCTAGTTACAAGTGAGCTGCAGATGAATCCTATTTGGAGGTTTGTAGAGATTTATTAACTGACTTCAGGCTGGAATTCATCATCCTCCAACTGATGTCAGTCCATGATGAGTTACAGACATATCTGCTGGTGGTGGATAAGATGTTATATTTCGTGACCTAAACGGGGAATACGACTTCGACCGACAGATATTTGACAGCGTCGGATTGAAAACACATATATTATGCTACACAATATCACCACCTATTCAAAATCACGCAATGCATTTGATGTTGATAAAATATTATCACGGATGTTAAAGAACCGCTTGACATTGATAATTTTCTACTGCAGTTAGCAACGACGGGAAATCCAATTTTTTCTCACCAAACGAAGAGTATACCACGTATCAATTTACTCTTTCCTACTCTGAAGCTGTAAAACATGCTTACTGAACCTAGAAAACATGAAGCAAAAAAGGTTTTCGAATATAGATACCTTTGAAGTATTGCTCATATGTTATGTAATCATAAATTGAGTAATGCTGGGATTACATGTAGAATGCCAGGTGAGGATGGAAAGTAAGTAAATGAGGTTGTTAACATTCAATTACTCAATTAGCTTAGAAAGGATTTACGCATGATGATGTTTCATCTACCTCAACAAAACACACTAACCGAGGTAGGATCATACTAGAAAAAAGCTCAATAGGACCAGACCAAGACAAATCACCAACGAACTAAGTGTCCGACTGTAGGTCTGGATCGTGTTTGCAGGTACAGAGTGCATAACTGAATTACTCAATGAACGGGAGACACTCCATCACATGGTTATAAGTAGAATTTGGGTAACCCAGATGAAACCACACTTTATTATCTTTGAAATGATAAACATTTCATTATTTTTCGTTGGCTTTTTCTCCCTTTCTTCATATCCTTTTTGTTTATCTTGATATCATTCCCTTTTTCTTCTCTTCATTTTTTGTGCTGTTGCGCAGGGTAACAACTTGACCTGAAGTACTTCTGTACAGTTCTTCATGTTTCAAATGCCAAATAACGAGAGAGAAAATGATGTAAAACAGTTCTTATAATGATTATCATTAAGAAACATTAAAATCGATTAAGACAGTCCACTTACCCTGTAGCTAAGCGATTAGCGCCCACAGGTGAATCAGGTAATAAACGACACCCAACCAGGATACTTAGGCGAGGTAAAGCAAGCAGAACACACGGATCTCGATCAGCCAATTGTTGTACTGAAAGTAGCTTTACAGTCAATCCCCACATTAGTGTTTCAGAAAATAACACAGTAACAAGCTGCATAAAAAATCAATATAAAAGACAAAACAGGACGAAACGTTAACACTGACTGATAAAAACACTATGTTTTGAAAAAAATTCACGATACAAAAGAGTAGATATTCATGAATATTATTATTATTATTATCTGTCCCTTGAGTTTCTCCTACTGGAACATAAGGCTTCAGTAGCACGTCATTTCACTCTCCTCTATGCAGTCTTTTGAACCTGGCTCCACAACCGCCAATAAACTTTCATTTCTCCCTCACAGGATTTCCTCCATATCACCCTCGCCTCGGACGCTCAACTCGTCCTTTCCCATTCGGGTCCCACTCGATGGCCTGGCCTAATGCGTGATGTCCCCAAATGGTTTTCTCAGTGTATGCCTAATCCATCTCCACTTTCTTCCTCTACATATCTGTTGGGCTATGGGTTCTTGGTTGGTGAGTTCGTTACCATCCAGCCAGCCAGCAAGAATTCCTCGTTGCTTATTCTTTCTAGCTATCTGATCCTAAGTGTCGAGTAAGCGTAGGCGGTAGCTGTTCATGTGTGTCTGCAGTTTGTTGGAAAAGCTTTCTGTAACGCGCCAAGTCTCTCAATCATCACATATAAGCACTGACTTGACTGAATTAGTGTTGAAAATCCGGATGCTGTTCATGCTGAGTGCGATGCAGTGCTGTAGATCTCCACACTGATTTCAGATTAATGAAGGCCTGTCTCGCTGTCTTTCCGATCCTGGTTCTGATATCCTCATCTGTGCCGCAACCTGTAGTTGAGACGATGCTTCCTAGGTAGGTAGCTAAGCGAAAGAGACTACTTCCTTTAGATTTCTTCCGTTCATGGTGATTGGTGCTTGTTGTTCATGCTGTTGTTCGTTGGGTATCTTCATCAACTTCCCCTAGCATGACACAGTAGATGTCCAAGCCATCTCAGTCGATGAAGGTTCACAACCTTATCAATCGACTTGCCTAGTATCCTTCGCCTGACCTCAAAGTTATTCACATGGTGATTCCACTAAGTGTGACTTGAACACTCAGCTTCGTGGCAGTTGAATCCTCCTTTGGATGGATGCTGTCGTCACACGTAAATCAGCTCCAAACCACTTGAGTAAATAAAGATTCGTTACCTCATCTACTTACTTGCCATCTTAACCGGGTACTCTACATTGAATCCCGGGATGATTCACTTTATAATTACACTACATGAGAGCAATGCTTCAGAGACATTTATAAACGAAAATCTATATTCGCCTCATGTTTTATGGGTTCAATAAGCATGTTTCACAGCTTTAGAGTGGGACAGAGTGGATTAATGAGCAGTATGCTTGACAGGCAATCGGATATCTTATCTTCACTAATGGTGGCGTTAGTATATTATGTATACGTAAGTAGAAAACATAAGCTATCGAGATCACATCTACTAATCTAGTAACTGATACACTCATCGCATAAACATTAACTCTGCATTCATCTTTCGAAGAGGGAAGCTCTTAGAATTCAAACGGACAATTTTTTCACATTTCAGTGACTCCGAAGGTTACCCTGGCGACTGATAAGATAACCAGTAAGGTTTTTCTATTTTATAAAAAAGTTATCTCTGCAACCGGATTTCAGAAAAAAAGTGCCTAATTGATTATTTCAATGGTTGTTAGAGTGGTCCTTAAAGTTGCTTTCAAACCTTCTGATTTTTAAAGATGGTTCAGTTGATATCAATACACGTCAAAAAGACTATCATCACATACAGCCTACGATCCTTTACAAACTTCTACATAATGGATAAATACTTAATTTACTCAAGTATAATGAGCTATAAATGCAATCAACCTCATACAAGTACTGAGTAATAAATTTATGTGGCAAAACATAAGAAAAGAATGTGACAGGTATAACTGTTAGGATGTAATAGTAAATACTTAACTTTATATATATATATATATATATATATATATATATATATATATATATATATATATATATATGGAAAAGCATATTAATTTTATGCGCAACGTGTATGTTAGCATTACAGTAACCACATGTTTAGTGAGTATTGATCTGTGACCGTAATCTAACAATAATGCAATTGCAATAACGTACTACAAATATGCATCAAATGATAGGCATACTGAAGAATAAAGACGTAAAGGAATGTAGTTCACTAACCATGTTGACTCTCGTGTATTAAGCAAAGTTACACATAGTGTGAAGGATTAATGGTATACCAACCTGGGTTTTTGAACCTGAATAGGTGGAGTGAGATTTGAAAGAATCAACCAATGAATAACACCTTCTAATGTATTCATTATAACAAATGTGAGCTGAATAAGAGATAAGGTAATGCTTCATATCTAAATGTTCGTCAGTTACTCAGTCAATCACAACACAAGATATGGCAACGCACAATAGTTCAAGTGACCACACCTCATATCAGTAGGTCAGATACGAGAAACGAAGATGAGGTAGTTCAAAATAGAAGAAAGACATAGGGAAGCAGTGAATGTAAAGCAAATCATGAAATAAAGCATGACAATTCAGAAGATAGTGTGTGGATGCATCTGCACTGATGAACTATACTGTCTAGAGTATCCAACCAGTAATCCCGTTTCTTATGCAGACACCAACTAAGAAGCCTGGTCTTTTGATAATCAGAGACTTCATGACCTGAAGCTGTCTTCCAGTCTGGTTACCTCCAATCTTTTCCCAGAATAAATATACTTAAGCAAACATTGAGTGTGTATGAGGTAGAAACGAACCAACGTAGAGCCAAATAAAGAATATCATTACTTCAACTTGCTTCACTTCACAGCAGTGCGCAAAGAACAAATAGATAGAAAATGAATGACATTATATTACGCAGAAGTGTATAGGAAAAGAGGAAAACAGGCAGAGAAAATGTTCAAACTTTCGAAAAAGTCAAAGCATGTACATATATGCTACATTTAAACCGATTTTCAGCCATATCACTAAGAGCCTACATCCACTGATTTCCGTTATCCCGAAAAACACGGCCACGCAGCTGACACTTATCTACACGGCACAAACCAGGTCCACATTATAGTCTGGGACCATGCGTCATCTTCCAAACCAATTCTACTTCAGTTAGTAACGCATGTGGATAGAGGCGGCTGTTGAGCATGTACAACACATGTATGAGTTTGCATGAAACATCCCACTCTGACTTAATCACGAATGTGAATCTCTCAGGAAAGGAAATGATTTCTCCTCATGTCGTCTCCCTATTTACAAATATTCCATTACCAAAAACCATTTGTTTTCTGAATGACTTCATTCAGTCCCATAACATAAACATCCGTAACCCAAATTATCTACTTGATGGAACTTCTACGTGCACTTCAAATTTAACAGCGAAGGCACACCGCAGTACATCAACGTCACGGAGGAAAGAAGAAAACTGTTGAGTGACTGTTTTCAGAAGAATAGCTATCCATACAACTTCATCCAAGAATGCTTCTCCAATTCACCGTCAGCCAAAACGTCGTCCACGAAAACCAACAAACCGATTATCTTACTTTACATGAAGAAAGTCTCCGAGATCTCAACTAGATTAATGAAGCTTTTCGGAATCACTGTAGCCCACAAATTGACAGAATCTCTTCACTCTATTTCATACAAACCAAAAGATACAGTGGTAAATGAATACAAACCAAACTTTATCGACAAAATAAACTCCAGAAATCTCGAAAAGCATTATATCGGACAGAGTGGTTGCATTTTTTGTATCCGTCTACATGAACATCTATCAGCTGTGAAAAGTTATGATACCTCTTCGTTCGCATCAATAAATATGGGCAACTGTGGACATTAATTCGACTAGGAAATGTGGAAATTCTACCTGGATAGAGGAAATACAAAGAATGTCAAAGCATTTTCAGAAGCATGGCACTCAGTTTTCAGTTGGCGATCAACAGATATATTCACACTGACCCAATCTATCAGTCAATAAGAAACAAAAGAGATAACAAGTTGATCAAATTTCACATCAGCATGACAGCCAATGGAAATACGTATACAGACAATAACAAGGTTTTAGAAGAAACAACCAATCACATGCAAGGTATATCAAGACAAGCCACTTGTGGAGAAAATATCATAGGTCACTTTCTTCTGAAGTTTGTGTTGATGATGATGTCTGGAATGAATGGTAATGAAGGCTTCATAGTCCAACCATTCAGCTCAGAGTACACGACATCAGTAAAAGCATCGGCCTGAACTACAAATATCCTTCATCACCTCAGCACTCAGTTTTGTTACCTGACACGGGTACTTAACCATCAATAAGCGGGTTGAAATTCTAAGTCCAGCTCTGTCCACTGAACTTTTGTATACCTTGATAAAATTAGTACCTCTCATACAACAGATGTGGTTGGTAGCCTAGTACACTAAATATCACGTGGATGGTTATAGTTCCATCAATTATTATTATATCATATCTGATGAGTAAGAAGCTTATGATGCAACTTAATTGTCAAACGTGAATTATAAGAAATGAACTTGAAATAGTAACAAAGTGATTCGAATTTCGATGGTTATATGAAGTTAACTCTAAAAATCAATAAAAATAAAAATAAAATCAGTGATAGTAGTCATAGTAAAACATACGATAGACAATCATATACCTGAACATCATCAGCTTCTTGTACTGTTCTAACTCGACGTGAAACACATCGTACAAATTCGAATTCGAATTGAGCTGCATAATAGTCCAATTCTAGTAGGATATGAAATAATTCTGGAGAAATTGTTAATAACTCAGGTGAAGGTAATTTAACTGGTGTTGTATAAATTACTGAAGCAATATTAACTTGAACAGATGCACTTATTGTATTACGATTTGCTTGAAGTGTTGAAATGGGCTTTTTAGAAGAATGTGAACAATCAGAATCGATTGGAGGAATAGAAGCGGTACATAACAGAGTTGGTGGATCATTCGAAGAAACACTTGAAGAGTCACTAGAACCTCTGTCAAATAAATCTGAAAAGAAATAATTATCAGGAAGGTGAAGGAAGTAAATCCAACATCATACAACTATTCAGCTGTTCTCCACTTCATACATTAGGCTATAAATGGTACAAAAATGGATTAGGGTGAATAATTGCGTAAGGCTGTTTGAGGAAAACTACACGTACAAAATATACAGAGATATTTAACGCTGTGAACATGCATCAGACAAGAGTGACTTTAAAGGCCACACTTACCAATCAGGTTCCTCTGTTTTGACTGATAAGATAGTTTTTCTATAATATTCAGAGCTCTAACTAGTTACTTCATTAGTTGTTAGGGTGGCCTTTAGAGTCAACCAGCACAGAGACAGTCTACCCAGGCAACTAAGTTACCTCTAACAAAGCGTATAAAACACAATCCATAACCACGTGATTGTAAGAGTCACAAAATGTGTCAAATGCCTTTAAGTTTAAAATAATTTCAGATAAAATTATGACGATATGTTAAATTTATGCTACTTGCATCAGTGAAAGTACCGAAATGATGTCTGTATATCAAACTAAGTGATAGAACACGACAATTTCGCTTACGACTAGGATAATACTAACTAACGAGGATCGAATTTTGACTAAATGAATATGCAAAGATCAGTTGTGATCTGAACACCTTAGTGGTGAAATCTAACTTCAGCACTGACTGATGTGGGTTCGAACCACTGACAGAACACTAGTTTCCTCATAGTCTCGACTATGCCCTGCTGTGGAGGTTACTAGGAACGAGGCCTAGGTCCAAGATTTGCAGTTGATTAGCTTCCTTCCGAAGAATAATTGGTGGACAGCGATCATTACTTCAGACTAGCTTAGGACACGACATATTCGTCACTATTATTTTTTAGTGTATCAGCTCATCTGCTTCTTATGATAGTATTACATCGAGACTGTTGGTTATTTTACGTCCTGCATGTTTCAAAGATCATTGATGAATTTAGATACTTCAGGATGTATCATTTCAGATTACAACTAAGTGTCTCATGTATGCTTTAATCTACTGCCCCTAAACAATAATACAGCAGATTTCTCAATCGACAGTTACAGAAACAGTCTCATATAAAAGAATTATTGCATGCCATGCAGTTAACAGTGAGTGTTTTTTGTCAGTGACTTAAGCAACTAATATCAGTAGTTTATTGATTTCGAATTGCTTAAGTACCATAACGTAAAGCGGAGCACTAGCTGTGATTATAATGGGTGAGAAGCGTTAAAATGAATACATAATTAAAGTGGTTTTATATAATTATCATTTGACTGTCTGTGATAGCCGTAGTTTAGAAGACTAGTATTTTATACTGGGTGGTGATTGAAGGTGAGATGAAAATTTGAACCGCGGCCGGACTCAAACCAGTGATCACTGGGTTATCGGCTCGATGCTCTACTAACTGAGCTGCGACGTTCAACTGCTGACCAGATCTTTATTTTACTTCAATCACCAAGGGTTGATTTAGATTGGGATGAGAAGTCCTGACTAGACAGCCAGTGTGAATACGGTCAATACGGTGACATGGAAGTCGGGCAAAACCCTTGGTAATTGAATTGAAATAAAAATGTGGTCGGCAGTCGGACCTCATAGCTCAGTTGGTAGAGTATCGGGCAGGTAACCCGGTTTTATATAATATTAGAAGATTAAGAAAATCTAATGCAGATCAGTAGTCACACGTTTATTTATGCAATATTCGACGAGTCACATCTATTGTGTGAGGACTAATGATACTACCCAGCTGCCCAAACCTCAGTAGTTGCGGCAGGATTCGAACCTGCGACCCACTGGTTGAAAGCCAACTGCTGAAGCCAATGGGCCACAGACCCACACTATGTTAATGGTTAAATAACCCACTAATTCAAAGTATCAGTGTTCAGCATCAATTAAAAGTACAACCATCCTTCTTCTGCGTAGATTACGGAAGTAATAATTTCAAGTATGCTATGTTAAAAAAATGCAAGCACAATTCCATAAAATAAGTGTTACTCATTATGCATACAGTTATATTCTCTTAAGGATGTGTGATTTATTAGCTTAGTAATTCGACCTTGAGTAACTGGTACCAGCTTCGAACCCGACTCAGATTTACTTTAACCTGGGAGATCAAGTAGTTTCAAAACCTCTCACATCATAATTATGAGTCATAACTTAGTGGATTTATCTGTCTCTCTTATTGAGTCGTATTATTATCAAGAGTATATACATTGTGGATTTATGGTGTTATTTTTTTTATTGAGATCTACCTCTCAGAGAAGTAAAATCTACGTGAATTCACACAGCAACATTATTTTCTTAGAAGACCATCCCTTCCATTGTTTCTTCAAAAGTACAGATTGATGTGAATGAATTACTATTTGTAGTTGTGCTATCTTTGTACTCAAAACACAAGAGTGGATGAAACGATCATCCTCTGTATTATTAGTTCATCTGTTTATGTCTTTAAATGTCTTTCTATTTTACTGTTGGGGAGGCAATCGAAATGCTATCTCTAAAGTTGTTGATTACCACTAGAAATACACAGAAAGACAAATATCAATAAGATAAGAATTTGTACGATTGTGTATTGGTTCAATTCACAACACTTTACATCAGCATTATGAGACAGAAGCTAACAAGAGAAAAGATAGTGACTACCTTACTAATCCATAATATAAAGAAAGTGAGAGAAAGAGAGATGAAGGGGATATAGTCATTTGACATCATGATTTAGAACCGAAATAGAGTATGAATGCATTTAAGATTGATTTTCAATTATACTTTCTAGAGTATCTCACCATTGATTCAGTTTGTCTCATGAAATGCATAATCAGAGGTTCTACATTTTTTTTTATATGGTCTAAATTGACGGTCATACTCTACAAGTTAGTGACATGATTTGGTTTATTCAACTTTAGCTTTCTTCCAAAGCTAATACTACTCTACAACTAACAATGAACTCTGAGTTGGATACTAGGTGGTTAGTTATGTAGAACATGTGTCACAGTCAACTTGGTCAATTCCATATTGAATAGTTTATTTGATACAGCACATAGTGACACAGTATAATTTACTGGATGACGTTTCGAGGAGAATTTACTGCTCATATTCATATCAAAGTAGGTATACGATTTTTATACTTCACGTATACAGTCCGACGGTCCTTCATTCTTCTTACTTCAATGCTGCAAACGTTTGTTAAAGCTTACTACCGCTAGAATAAAAACTATGAGCAACTATCGAACTATATACGCTAAATTTGAAGGTTTTATGATCACTTTGGTAAGAATATGAGTGACAAGTTTTGCTCGAAACGTCATCTGTACTGTATCACCATATTATATCAAATAAACAACCTTATATTGTTAAAATTGAAAACTTTATTACTTGACATATACTCGGTACCAGCAAGTGTGAGCAATACCACGAAGGAATTACCAGGTGATGTACTCACCCCGAATACCACGTCATTTGCTAACCCTAACAAGAATAATGAATGAGAATCGTTATATTAACTTTGTACCTAATGAAATCAAACGCTCCGCTTCACACTGTCAGGAATGAGATTGACGCAGACCAGTCTCAATGTAACAGTTTGCATTTGAGAGATGGGAAATGCATTCTAGACAATGAAATTATTACTCAAAACGTTCAAGATTTTGAATGCTAAAAAGGGTTTGGAGACAACGAAATTATACAATCTGGATAAATTGCCTTGACCAAAGTATTTCTAATAAGGATATTAATCCCAGTGCATGACTTTAATTAAGTCATAAGAAGGAGTGATCCCCGAATGCCACTATCATCAAATGAAAAAAGCAACCATAAAATTATATTGTTTCCTGCTGGATTCATTCATTCATCATCATAATCAGATCTTGAATCCTAAAATTCTTAGGACTAATGCACACTTCTATTCTGTTCGGAGGTAAGTTGCTTTTATAATAGTTATGTACAAGACAGAAGAGGAAATTGCGTTGATGAAAATGTGAACCATCACTGACACGGGTAGGTGGCTAGGATATATGTTACACACGCCTATTCACCGTCTACTTCGTTGCGTAATACTAAGTGGAATGGATTTAAAATGAAAAAACTTAGGGGCGGCCGAATCAAAACATGGCTTCAATTTATTGAATCTGATTATTGGTCTCAGGCGTGTGTTGAAATGTCGACTTCCAGGTTAACGTTAAGATGATAACTAAAATCTGTTGTTGGAAACTCTAGATAATATGTCTGAGAATTGATATCAATGGTACTGATGCTTTTAAACAATACCTTTATCCTATTCATCATACCGTATTTAGTTATTGTATTTATGACTTTTCAGGATTTTTAATGACATTTTCTCTTCATATTCCCCTACCTTTGATTTCTTCACCTTTTACCTTGAAGTGCAGTGTAGCAACTTGGATCCTAGGTTTCACATTGACATCGACTAATTGGCAGCTGAAAAACAATGACCTCCCAAGAACATTAAAATGAGATGAGATGCTTTGTTAAACATACTTCGTGATACTTGTACATCAGCATGTCAAGTTTGAGAATGAGCTGTTCTATATAGTTCGACGCTTGACTGACATTTATTTTTATTTCAAAGTAAACATCACGAGGGGAGATCGATTATTATTATTATTTTATTATTTGTCCCTTGACTTCCTAGTGGGACATAGGGCTTCAGAAGCACGTCTTCATTCTACCCTGTTATGTGCAATCTTTTGAATCTTGCTCCACGACAGCCCAGAAGTTCTCATTTCTTACTCACACAATCTCCTCCATCTCACACTCGCCTTGGACGCCCAACTCGCCGTTTCCCATCTGGCGCGTGATGTCCCCAGCCAGTCTTCTCAGTGTATGCCAAATCCATCTCCACTTGCTTCCAGTGCATATTTATTGAGCGATAGCTTCTTGGTTGGTTCATCACCCTCCAGACTTCCTTGTTGCTAATTATCTCTGGCCATATGAGCTTCAGTAACGAGCCAGCGTAGGCAGTTGTTCATGAATATCTGTAGTTTGTTGGAAATGCTTTTCCTAAAGTGCCAAGTCTCTCAACCATCTCACAGAAGCACTGACTTGACTGGCTTGGTGTTGAAAATCCGGATGTTGCTAACGCTTTATGCTGAGTGCAGAAGATCTCCACACCGGTTTCAGGCTAATGAACGCCTGTCTCGCTTTTCCGATCCTGGTTTTGACACCCTCATCTGTGTCACCTGTAGTTGAAACGATGCTGCCTACCCAGATAGGTGAAAGAGGCTACTTCCTTTAAGTGTCTCAAGCTGACGGTGACTGCAGCTTGTGGTTGTTGGTGGTGGCGTTGGTTGAGTATCTTCAACACCTCCGTCTTCTCTACGTTCACTTGAAGCAAGTCCGTCTTCGCTGCCCTGCCTCGCCTCTTCTGTCAACTTGTTAGTTTTCGCCTGTATTTCTTCAAGTTTGAGTGACATTAGACACAAATCATCGGCGAAATCCAAATCTTCTAGGATCTTTTCCCCGGTCCAGCCAGCGCATCCCCCTCTTCTCGTTCCTCACTGTTTGTTGCATGATCCAGTCAACCACAATCAGGAATATCATGGGTGATAGTAGGCAACCTTGTTTAACTCCTGTCTTCACTTCAAAAGCATCACTGAGCTTCTCATTGTGAATTACTTGGCATGTGGCGTCTTCATATAGTTTTTGAATGAGATTGATAAAGGTTTGCGGTATTCCGTAGTAATGAAGCAGTTTCCAAATTACCTCTCAGTCGACGCCATCAAACGCCTTTTCAAAGTCGATACAGAAGTCTAATCCGAGCCATATGGGGTCTTTGTTATATTGCTTATTGGATTAGTCACAGAGATACAAAACAGTAGATTAGAAAAGGAATCCTAACCCCTTAAACATTCTCTGTTGATGAATAAGTTTACTTTACAATCTATAATGTCATTTTAAAGTACTCGAACAAATTTAAACAGCCTATGTATTCAATAGGTATAACCTGAATGAAACAGTACAGAATAGCTAAAATATAAGTCATTTAAATGGGTATGTGGAAAAATTCTTCCCTAGTTATCCTCTATGTAAGACGCTTAAAAGTGATACAGAATTCATTTTAAACAGAATTAAAGTAAACACAACTCTAAATAGCATACACTGAAGTTGTGGTTTATTGGTTTAGACGAGGGAGATAACTTTCAACCGATGAGTCACGGGGTCGAGTCACAATGAAGTTTGGGCAACTCTCATACAATAGGTGTGTTCACGAATGTGTACAAGATTTCTAAGCTCATTTTGATTCAATTTAGAAATAACATAAAAATCTATGCAATTAATATGGCTATATAAATATTTAATAAGATATTCTTTAATTAAACTACCTAAATTCTCCTGGATTTCATTCTTTTGATGAACGAATGAATCGTTACTCCTTCTTTTCTGTTCAGCAGAATCATATTCATTATGATTAGAAGATAAACTGGTTAAACATAATTCGATTGTATTGTTAACTAGTGCTTGAACACGGCCATGTGTATCTAAGAATTCTGAAGCACTCGATTGAGCAGGTCTCAAGTCACATTCCATGCTGGACTGGCTGAGAAAAGAAAACATTATCGAATAAGGTTGGTAGTAATTAGTTAGTTAACTTGTATTCATAATTCAGGTAGATATAGTATTCAGAAGTAGTATTCATCATGGAATGACATCAGTTGGGGAACCATTGAAACCAACTGGGAGCACTGGACAGCTGTTTTGTCCTAGTATGGGACTCCTCAGCAGTACGCACCCACGACCCCGCCGGGTAGGGATCGAATTCAGGACCTTCAGGTTTCACGGCGAACGCGTTAACCATTCAGCCACTGGGTCGGTTAACGCGTTCGCCGTGAAACCTGAAGGTCCTGAGTTCGATCCCTAGCCGGGTCGTGGGTGCGTACTGCTGAGGAGTCTCATACTAGGACGAAACAGCTGTCCAGTGCTCCCAGATTTCCAATGGTTCCCCAACTGATGTCGGTCAATGATGAATACTACTTCTAAATTAAAAATCCCCACTCACCTCAAAAATACAGAAATATATATGTAAGAGAGGCATTATAATACTATTCCATGATGATGAATAGTGGGATTCAAATTCACATTTCATCTTGTTTGGAATTCATCAGAACTTTATCAGAGTTACATGCGACTACTGAAACTCAGGTCCACTGCTTATAGTTTTAAAAATCAGAGTAGTCGAAAATGATAACTTAGAGATTAACCGTTACCACTTTTATCACTATCCAATGGTAGATTCATTGAAAAGATGGTTGTCATGACATGTACCAGATGTGAATTTGTCATTGTTAAAAACGGAAAAACAAAATTCCGCATGTCTGAAGGAAGTTTTAAGTAAGGGAGACTATGAGGCATTGCTATTAAATGCCAATAAAGTTGTCCTTTACAGACATTATGGAAAATGGTTCTTATAGAGTTGTTTCTATTGAAAACACATTGAGAAATGCCAACAAGAATTTTTAAAAATGCTACGAATGATAAAATTCTATCAATTGAGAGGTCTTGTAGCAGTGTCTCACACTGCCAGCGATGCCAAGTAGGTATCTCAATCCGTTGAAGGTTCTGCACTCTTAGGCACTTTAGAGTATATCGTGGAGTATAAAGTGACTTGTGTACGCCAAGTGATTTTTTTTGTTGATGCCCACATCCTCCATTCTTATTTAATTTTTCCTTTTGTGTACTTATACAGGTCTCGCTCTTGTCCTCTGGCTTAACAGGAATTGATCCTGTCACAGGAGACTCTATAGTGGAGCTAGAGTACGCAGATGATATGCTACAGTTGGTTAAAGATATGAACAGCATACAGAGTCTTGGAGACAGAATGTTTGGAATAATTTTTGAACTACCCAAATACAAATTATTTCTCAAGCACTGGTATGCTTTGGCGCTTTGTCCAACGGTAGGTAGTGAAGCGAATGACTGCGTTGACCACTTCACTTACATGGGAAGTCGGATCAACCTTGGTGGATTTGCAAATGCAACTGTCGGTGGCTTTTACTAAGACAGATTTGGAAATATGGAGAAATATTTACTGATAAGACAGGTTGTTTTGTTTAAAACAGACGGGCTTGAGCAGTAGTATCCTTTCAATTTTAAAATAGTGGTTATAAGATGAGATATTCACCAACAGTAGTTGGCCCTGTGCTCAACGCCACTAGGTTAAGAGAATTTCTGCTGATAAATTTCCCGCTAGAATGATAGGCTGCTACCTGTAGGTTTCTAAAGGTTTTTGGATGACATCATTTGCTGATGAACAGAAATCATAGGGAGCGATAATGACCAATTCACACATCGCTCAGCTCTGGTGGCATGTTATTTAACCTTTATCATATCCTGTATTTCCCGGTTGATGGAACTCATATAAAAATCGTGACTTATATAAGGGCTGAAAGATATAGCCAAAGCGCTCCTAATGAGTTTCCTTGTAGCCTCTCATAGTTTCCGAAAATCAATGGCTTAGGGTTTGACGAGATTCAACATTGATGCTGACCTTCGTAGTTTTATCGGACTCGCTAGGCACATGGCCAAGCATCGTCGCCGTTTGGCACACTGTCGTGTTAAGTTGCACTGCTCGTAATCGTCAGCTAGTCGGAACCCATCGGTATTTTGGCACGACCTCGCAAATATACTATTCCATCTGGCTACGCTATTGTGTTCTTTCTTGGTCTTGTATACGTGGGTATATTACAAGTACAAATAATTGGTGATTGGCCTCTGTGTCTGTCAAGTTCTCACAAGGACGATTCCTAAATCCTAGTTCCCTTGACTTTGTGCCTGACAACTTTTTTTGCTCTTTCAGCTTTTTGAGAATACACTAACGCATAAAGACAGTGAATGTAACTTTCCTGGAAAGGCTTCTGAACAAATTGTCGATTGACAATATTTAGAGAGAAAGATTAACCTCGAATTGACAATATCACGTATTAGAGCACTATGGAGGATTACTCTATCAATTTGATCATTATTACTTAGCAACCAATAAATTCATAAATATAATCAACCTGGGTATGTATAAATAGCACACATGTAAGTTGTACGAAAAACGGAATATTCTGAGACTTAAGTACCTCACCAAAGATCTACGACAATCTGGATTTAATTTATAAATTGAATTGAAATAAAAGATGTTTCAGACAGCGAAATATTCATATTTAGTCATTGAAAAAAAAAACATATAGGCGGACAACTACTCTGCCAATAACATTAAGAAGCGAAGTGAAAATGTTGATATACAAGTAAGGAAGAGCTTTAGATTAATACCGACTGAAACTCAATAGGAAGAAATAATCAAGGACTTAGTACAATTGTGAATATGCTTCAGTTTTACACCTCATGTCAGTACAGTGAAGAAATAATCACAGTACAAAGGGATGAAAGATAGTAATGGCATCAATGGTTATGAGGAATTAGCAGAAAAAGATGAAACAAGTTTAAATATGAAGGATGGTGTAGAATACAACTTCTATATTAGGTTCAATACGGAATTCCCCCATACCAGTGCTCAATTTCTGCTCTTAATAACACAACCAATCCATGATAAGGTTGAAGACAATTTGATCACACGTGTGATACTGCTAATGATTCCAAAAAACGTCTTTTAGAGTTTTTAATCATGCTTAATATATCCTAATCGAGAAGGTTTATGCTTCCTACATGGTCCAAACTAAGAGTCAAATACCTTAAAGACTGGTCCCGAATCTTACCCCTAAAGACTAAGAGGTAGATTACATTCTACGTGTAAACCAGCTAACATTCTGTGTTGAAGAGGGTAGTGTATAGGCATGTGTAACATACATATATCAACCGCTTCGTTCGATATGGGTTTACATTCTCAAAAAATTATCTGACTCCCTTGCTTATTAGAAGTAATTTGATAACCCAGTAGACTTGGGTACTAGTTTACGCACTGTAATTACTATCAGGGTTATTAATATTATCTATCTGAAACCCGGTTGAATGAGCAGGTTCTTAATTGACAACTTTAAATTTGAGAGCTTAGGATAATAGGCTACAGTAACTTCATCTAATATTCTATACATAGTTGTAATAGTAAGCGGACAACATCTATAGGAAATAAGCTGTCACAGTTATAATTGTCAGAAAGACAATTGCACTTTTAATCCAGTAAACTTTAACAGAATCTGAGCAAAAGATACTACAGGTAACATATGAAGGTGAGAATTTTACTTCAAGCAGATCAGGTTTCACAAACGCAATAATCCAACGATAATACATACACAACAGTCAAGCTGTGGCTCGTTGGTCTAGGTGCTCGACTTTTACACCAATGAGTCATGGCTTTAAAGCTTCATTTTACCTACCAAAGTCTGGGTAGCCAAGTATTATGATAGGCTATCACATAGTGGGTGTGGCGTATAACTTACTGCACGAATGTGCTAGTGGTCGGTGAGTTGTATTTCCATTTCAGCATCGCTTTCAAAAAAAAGTGGTCACTTCTCTCTACTTTTTATAACCATACTTGTGTTTACATTCTGTCTAACTCATATACCTTCACTGTGTGTAACGTGTTTGTTGATAACCTAGTGAACTCATGTTATATCATTTCGCTTAGTTGTTACACTGAACTCGATCGACAAACTTCTATCAGAACTTAGAAATTTTAAATTCTCTCTGATAGCCTATTGTGTATTGTCTATTTCATGTAACTTAGGCCTTATGTTACAAGTGCAACTTAAAATAAAATAGTTTCTACCTACTCCGTTTGCAATACCCTTATTTTACATTACTGACTTCATGCGTTTGGAGTATCCTCGTTTAGAAGACAAGGCACGTAACTTTTTCCATAGATGCACTATAAATATTTTAAATTTCCTATTGAGAAAAAAAAATACATATTAACTTTCAGCAAAAAAATAGAAGGGTAAATTACCCGAAATTAAAGTTTACTACTTTATTCGCAGCGGACACCAGGCAATTTTCGATATTCCTTAGGTCCACATCTTCCACATATTTAGTCCGAAATAGGCGTTTATGACGAGCGTTTGTTGGTAGCGCAGCATTAAGAAGACGAAAAGTCACAGCACCCAATTCACGCCTAACAGATTCTATTGCTTGCATCACAACCTGTTAAAAGAAATGAAACAATGTAGTAGAGGAGAAACGCAGCGACAATTTGTTAGATATAGAAATTTGTTCCTGCCACTAGACTAATATCACTGAAAGGATGTATAAACGACCTTAAAATAAATTAGAGAAATGTAAACCTTAAGCTGAGATGATAAGTTTCAGCTCTAAAATTGAAGCAAGCTTCTACCACTGTATAAGGATCACCAACATGTTTACGCGCACAGGCAAACGAAAGCTAGTTTGTTAGGTACAATAAGCTGAATAGGAAATGAATCAAAATTGATTACAATAGCGCAAATATAGTAACCTCACAGTCCTCGTAACAGTGTACACAAGTCTATTCTTATTTGCAAACTCCTTTCGATTCAACTTCTCTTTTTTGACTTTCTATGTTTATGGGGCTATTTTAGACACAGGCAGACAAAAAAAACAACCAAAAAAGGACCTCGTATAGAAGTACATCGGTTCACCTTGCCACACATCACAATAGCATACAAAGAAAGAGTGGGTAGAAAAACAGTGATGTCAACGTAGACAAAAGTGTATGGGAGGAAAAGGAATTTGAAAATCAAGGTCAGTAAAATTTTTTGGCTTTAGAAGACATCAAGGAGTGACTGATTTTCAACCATATTGCCGAGGATTACTAACCATTGATTTCTATTTTCCCGAGGACTACAACCATGTACACCACTTCTGAAGTATATTACATTTGACAGGTGCAAAATGTATACCAAACATACTCAGGTTTTCGTTTAAGGTTTTTAGAAGACAGTGTATTCTGTCAGCACTTACACCCAATAAAGCAGTATCATCTGCGTAATAAAAATAAAATGCTAGATCCCCCCCCCCAGCAAGTAACTCAATCTCTGTAAATCCGGAGGTACCTACAGTCATGTCTATTAGCACACATTTAACAAAGGCAAAAGTTTGAAACAATTGGTTCTCCTCATGAATTTTGATGAAGTAATAGGGTGTAGTTGAATCGTGAAACGTATTTGCGCAAAACGTTTTGAACAGAAGGAAGCTTTACCCCTTGGACCAAACTTTTGTGTTCCTCGTATGCAGTTTTCAGATTTAGTAATTCACGCAGAGTTTGAAAATCTGTTCGACAAACTTAAACCTCTTGTCTCAACTTCAGATGATGATCGGGGTTGGTTTAAAGCTAACCTGGTGAGCATAGCTCATCAGTTCTCCAAAGGTGATCTGGAACAGAAAAGCATCTTAATGCCCGAATATTTCAGAGCTTTGAAGGGACTTCGACGAAATTCAGATATTACCATACTCAGACCTGAAAACGGTTCTAGAGTTGTGATCATGAACAAAGGCGATTACTTATGTAAAATGTTCTCCACTCTGGATGATAAAAATAAATTTTTTCGTGATGATTCTATAAAAGATGTACAAGTATTACAGGGTACGGTGTTAGCTAACCTAACGAAAATTCTTGGTTTAAACAGTACAATTCAAGATAAATTCGACGCATTAAAGCCAATAGAATCCAAATTTTCACATCTATGTGGGGTTGAATTAGTCGACTACCTTGATGGTATTAGTCTGAGTAACAAAACTATATATTCTTTTAATGTTAACCGCCTGTTCACTAATGTCCCCTTAGTCGAAACAATTGACATTCTATGTGATTATGTCTCCACTATAAAGTTTTAAATCACCGTCGCTTTATCTTACCTAGGACATTTACTACTTTTATTCATTAACAATGTAAAGTTTACATTTGAGAGCGAATATTTTCACTGCTTTCGGGCTTAAAATGGATGTACAAACGCCATTTACGCCCATCTATAAGACCCGTTTGGGAAGTATTTTAAAGTATGCTGACATATTAGCCACCTTTGTGTTCAAGAACAGTTTGTCATCATATTAAACCTTCTTTGGTAAATTCGGCTTTGAAGCCAAGGTTATTGTACTGCTAAATTATTGTTGTTGTTTTTATTGATTCTCATTGTTGTTTTGACCTTCAATACAGACTTCTCATTTGATCGATAATTATTTTTCTACCCCTTATCATCATCATCATTATCAACATAGGACCAGGCATTACTGCGTAACGGTCCGAGTTGCCACACCTCATATCAGCACATCAAGTAAAAAGGTAGTGAGGTGAAGGATGAAGATAAGTGAATGCAGTCAAAAGAAATATAAAGTATGAGAAGAAAGGAAAGAGGAGTGACAAAATAGTGAGATTCGGTATAGCGTTGTTAAGATGAGGATAATGTGTGTATACATCTGCGCCACTGACTTCGGTTCTGAGCCATATCACCTAGGGTCTCCAACCACTGGTTCCTCTTGTCCCGTGGACCCCAACCACCTAGTCTGCATCGTCCTACATGGCTTAAACCAACAGTCAGAGACTTCATACATTGGTGCCATGTTTTAGTCTGGCCACCTCGGGCCTTTTTCCAGCCTGAACCCACCTCAGCCAACATTGTGTGACGAGGCAATCGGTGACTAGGCATACGTAGTACGTGTCCCAACCATCTCAGTCGATGAAGGTTCACAACCTCGTCGACTGACTTACCTCTTCTCCCTAAAACTCTACACCTAACTTCTGCATTACTCACATGGTGACACCACGGAATACGTCCTATACTACGAAGGCAACGGTGGTCAAATACCTGTAACCTTCTCATGTCTTCCACTTTCAATGGCCATGTTTCACAGCCATACAGTAGAACAGAGCGGACTGCTGTGCAGTACACGCGACCCTTAATAGACAAACGAATATCACGGCGGCGCCATAGGTGGCGCAAATTGGCAAAAGCCAATCGAGCCTTTTGTATCCGTGCAGAAATCTCATCGGCAACTAACCCACCGGAGTTGATCCTACTTCCCAGGTAAGTGAAGTGGTCAACACACTCAACCACTTCACTCTCTATTGTTAACCGCGGTACCGCTGAAGACCAGTCCTGGAGCAAAAATTTGCATTTGGGTGGTGAAAATCGCATCCCAAACATTCTCAAATTCCCACTCAAAGTGTTCAGAAGACTCTGCATCTTGTCAGCGTCTTCACCTAACAGGACTATGTCATCTGCATATTCTAGATCTAAGGAAAATTCACCTGTGATCCGGTCAACGTCTTTGTAATTAGGTGACGAGAGGGAAACCTCCATAAGAATATCTATGATAAAATTAAATAAGAATGGGGATAGTGGGCATCCTTGACGGACACCACTTGATGAGTATAGCTCCCTGGACAACTCACCATAGGCTCTAACATGCCCACAAGTGTTCGAGTAGAGAGCTTTCAATAAGGTGATGTACTTACTAGGCACGCCTTTCAGTGACAGACACTGCCATAAGACTTCTCGATCAACGGAGTCAAATGCCGCCTTCAGGTCGAGAAATACAGCTATTGTCGGGCGTCTGTAAGCATGCCTATGTTCCAGGACCTGGCGCAGTGTGAATATTTGGTCGATACATCCACGGCCAGGTCTAAAGCCTGCCTGGTTTTCTCGGGCTTGCTGTTCCCGAGCTCCACTCAGGCGTCGGAGAATTATAGAACTTAGGATCTTAGACACTATGTTTGTCAGGCTGATTCCTCTGTGGTTATCACAAGAGGACTTCTCGCCTTTCTTGAAGACTGGGATGATCAGTGACTTAGACCAGTCGGAGGGGATCGTATTTGATTCCCATATACTGGCTAACACTTCCGTTAGCCTGACTAAGAGAACTCTACCACCATTCTTGTATACCTCAGCAGGTAGTCCGTCTGGTCCTGCTGCCCTTCCCCGTTTCAGGCTACCTACCGCTTTCTCAACTTCTTCTAGTGTTGGGGGACCTGTCTCTATGTCCCATTCAGGGTCCGACTGGATAGCGGGCAGCGCAATGGTGGCTGGAGGCCAGTTAAACTGTTCCTCAAAGTGTTCTGCCCATCGTCCCAGTCGCCTTCCCTGCGAGTGAATCGCCGATCCGTCCTTCTCCGCTATAACCTCACTAACTGTTGTTGACCATTTCCCCCCAGTCTCCTTAATAAGTCTAAATAACTGTCTACTGTTACCGATCGCCGCTGCCTTTTCCATCTCTTTAGCCTTTGCTGCCCACCACTGTTCACGATCGTTGCGCAGACTTTTCGTCAGTTTATTTTTAAGTTGCGCTCGCTCTTCATTGTACTCAGAGCCTGCAGGGATGCATTCACGTGCATCCATTAGTTTGGAAGAAGCTGCTGATATCCACTGGCTCTTTTTAGCCATTATCTTGGAGTCGGCTACAGTCTCCAGTGCTGCTTTTACAGTAGACTGAAGATGGCACCAAGCTTCTTCTGGATGAGTGACAGTCTTTTGTTCCGATAACTGCCTAGCCAACTTCTCACTGAACACGGCTTTGGTGTTTTCGTTGTCCAGCAGAACTCGTAGTGGTTTTGTTGCCAAATTTTTTCTACGTCCATTGAGACGCAGGCATATACGTGCTCGGACCAACGCATGATCGCTGTCCAAACACGTACTCCAGAAGGAGCGGCAGTCTTCCACCGATCCTCTCCAGCGATGACTAATAGCAATGTGGTCTATCTGTGTCCATCGCTGAGTCGAGCTCGGTGGACGCCAGGTCAGACAGTGCCTTTCTTTATGTCTGAAATTTGTGCTGGCTAAAAATAGGCGGTTATCTGAGCATAGTTGTAATAGGCGATCACCGTTATCTGTACGTTCAGCTGGGATTCCGAAAGTGCCACCTAAGTGCCTTTCTGCCTCACTCAGTCTACCCACCTGTGCGTTGAGGTCACCTGCAACAACCACTACGTCCGAACGTTTGGCTTTCGAGAGGAGGTTAGACAGTTTATGGTAGAACTCGTCCTTCACTTCATCCGAACTACAGTCAGTGGGTGCGTAAGCAGAGATTACAAAGAGACAACGGCGAGTCTCACTATTCCTTTTAGTTCTCACTGTGCCGTTCAGCCTCATAGCGCAGAGGCGACTATCAACTGGGATCCAGTCTAGTAGTGAGTTTTCTGCCCTGGTGCTTAATGCTATACCTACACCTGCAAG